TGTCACTTTTAAAGTCAAGCTGCTGTGGGATCTAAATGACTCTTGCAGTCTGTGACCCTGCTCTCTCAACATGTTCCTCCCTGGAAGCTAGAGCGCAGGGAGGGGAAATGAAATGTTCTCAGAGGTACAGGTCTTCTTTACCTTGAGAACCCTTACCTGAGGATTGTGGGGCCTCTCATTCTTTAAACATCTGGAAAAGAATACCCTCTGGTCTGCTAAAGATGTTCCTTGTGCTTCTTTACTAAGTAATTACGGCTATGACATTTATTTTTGTAGAACTCCTGTATTTTAAAAAATTTCTGTAGTTTTTGAGCTCATGGTTTTGTGGTGAATTCGTGTGTGAATCCTGTGCACCTAAATTAATATATTTTGTTCTGTTTTATCAGACTATACAGGTTGTTTTTTGTTTTGTTTTGTTTTTCCACCATTTTTCCCACTGTCTTTATTCAGGGGTCAAGTACTTAAGGGAAAGCTCAAAAATCCTTGTTTCCTGTTGGTTTTTATGTATATTTGCACACACCTGTGTATTGTATGTATGTGTATATGTGTCTCTATCTTATATATTATTTACCTGTACCAAGGTTGACATATAAATGAGCATTCATAAATTAAATTTTAGGAAGAAGAAAGGAATCCAAATACCTTTTAGTTCACATGACTTAATCCTTTTTTAATATTTATTTTTCAGTTGTAGTTGGACACAATATCTTTATTTATTTTTATGTGGTGTTGAGGATTGTACCCATGGCCTTGCCCATGCTAGGCGAGCACTTTACTACTGAGCCACAACCCCAGTCCCATGACTTAAAGGATTAAGAAAAAGTTTAATTTAAATTGGGAAAACAGATGAGAGTAAAGATGTCTTTAAAATTACTAACCCATAAGTTTCTCTAGGTGGTCAGGCAATAGAGAGTTGGTTTCTATAGAATGTCTAGAGAACAATATTCATTGCTTCTAGGATTTCCCCTTCAACAGGGAAAAGATGGCTAATACTGTTAACTACATTTGTCTGATATCTTGGTTGTTATAGTCAAAAAATGGGTACATTAGGCTGGGTATGGTGGCGCATACTTGTAATCCCAGTGGCTCGGGAGGCTGAGGCAGGAGGATTGAGAGTTCAAAGCCAGCCTTAGCGAGGCCTTAAGCAACTCAGGGAGACCTTGTTTCTAAATAAAATATAAAAAGGGCTGGGGATGTGGCTTAGTGGTTAAGCACCTCTGGGTTCAATCCTCAGTTTGAAAAAAAATGAGTACACTGATTTAACATAAATGGGATTAATCTTTGTAAATGTGTTTTTTATAGGGGACACCTGACTGGTTTACAAAGTTAAAGTGCTAAGACATCAAGATGCACCCCCTCCGGCAGACTCCCAGGTCTGGATCCCCTACTCTTCAGAGAAGTCTATATTCTTCGCTTAAATAAAACGTGCTTTCTACACTTGCCTTGGCGTTTTTTGGGTGTTTAATCTTCAACACCAGGGAACAAGGACCTATTCCTCCTCCTCCTTGGCGGAGACTGGCATCAATAATATGGGGAATTTAATTTGCACAATAATCCTATGAGGTAGGTCCTACTCACATTTCTGTTTTTACAGATATAGAAAGTGAAGTCGTTGAGCAGGAACAGCCAGCGAGTAGGTGCCAGAACCCAGCCTCATAGAATTGTTAAGTATGCCAGTCCACACAACATACATCCTCAATTAATGATGGCAATTATTATTTTCCAAGTTTTTTTAGGGGGGGCGATACCAGTTATTGAACTCAGGGGCACTCACCACTGAGCCAGATCCCCAGCCCTATTTTTTTTTTAATATTTATTTCTTTTAGTTATTGGCAGACACAACATCTTTGTTTGTATGTGGTGCTGAGGGTCGAACCCGGACCGCACGCATGCCAGGCGAGCGCGCTACCGCTTGAGCCACATCCCCAGCCCCCCCAGCCCTATTTTGTATTTTATTTAGAGACAGAGTCTCATGGAGTTGCTTAGTGACTCTCTTTTGCTGAGGCTGACTTTGAACTTGTGATCCTCCTACCTCAGCCTCCCAAGCTGCTGGGATCACAGGTGTGTGCAAAGCATCCAGCTATTTTCCAAGTTTTTGTGATACAAATATATGCTTTAATAATAAGGCTCTGACTTCCCCTTATGAATTTTTTTTTAAACCAAACTGAGCTGCAAATTGGAAGGCTCCAATCTCCCTCCCAGGAAGATGTCCACTGAAGGTCTGACTGCTGCAGGCCCTGGGCAGAGGGAGGTGGGGTAAATCCTGATGCCTGGTAAATGCCACGCCTGCTCCCCAGTCTTGCTGAGGCTCTGGCCTCCCACACTGCTGGTTCTTGCTTACATTTATGAGCAAGGTGACAGTATGAGGTTGCTATTCTCCCTGACCAAGATTCCCTTACAGCCCTCCAAAGAGCACTTGGCTGCAGCATGACCTCGGACTTCCTCATCCTCATGTATCTCAAGCTTCAGAAGTTTTCTGGGAGCAGCGCCATAATAATTCTCCTACCTTCAACCTCCGGTGTCGTTTCCACCCCAGCCCTTACTTGGCAGTGGGCCTGGACTGCCAGCTTGGCTTATCTTTGCCTGCCTGTTTCACTAGAGTGGGATTCTATAGAAAGAGCAGACAGTGCTGGGTTTGAGTCCAATTCTTCTTTTCCTACCTGTATAGTCTTCCCTTTTTGGAGCTTCTGTTTTCTCATCTGTAAACCTTGTAATGTTGGCATCTGGTAGCTGGAAGTGGCTCAGTGACTGGCAGCTGTCTTCATCATCTGATTGGTGCACAAAGAATGCCCCAAGAAATCTCCCCCCCACCCATAACCATAGGTTAGGAAGTCAAACGGGGGTGGGGGTGGCTGGGAGTTTAGCTCAATGGTAGAGTACCAGTCTAGCTTGCTCGAAGCCCTGGGTCTGATCCCCAGCGCTGCGCTGGGCTGGGGCGGTGGAGGGAGTCAAACAGAAAATAAATTAGTAAAAGGTGCGATCTGAGTTGTGCAGAGAAAGGTTTTGGTGGTTGAATCTGGGCATAAATTAAGTGGGCCTGAGATTAGAAACCAAACCGTCATAGCCGAAAGTCTTAACAGACAATGAACAGCAGGAAATGCTTTTGAAACTGTAGTCTGTACAGATGTTTTGATAGGTACTTATCTCACTCAGTCCTAACGCAACCTTGTAGGGTAGGTAGTATCCCCATTTTACAGATGAAGAAACTAATGTGTCCAAGGTCACAGTGAGGACTCCTGATACCAAAGTTCATGCCTTTAGTTGCTCTGGTGACTTGAGGCTAATCTAATATCTTAGTTTTACATATGAGGTTCAGGAATGGGAGATTATTATCAAAAGGGGAGCACTTACCCAATTCTTTCCACAAAGAAAAAGAGACCAGTTTTTTTTTTTTTCCTTGTGGTACTGGGGATTGAACCCAGGGCCTTGCGCATGCTAGGCAAGCACTCTGCCACTAAAGTTCAACCCAGCCCTTTCTATTTTATTTATTTATTTTTGAATAAACATTTGTCCGATATTTAATGAAATCCAATTATAAAGTATATGTTTGAAGAAATGTGGAATGAACATGAGATAAACATGATTAAGAGGAAATAATTCAACCAAGTATGAAAATTTAAATTATTTGTTGTACAAATTTACACAAACTATAACATGAACACAACAGTTACAAATAAAAAATAGAACTAAGCAAGTATATAAAACACTTCAAAAATGAAAAAATAGCAATTTTGTTTGAAATTGTTTGTCTTTTATAACATGTATATGTATATATACATATATATTTGGTATTGGGGATTGAACTCAGGGCACGCAACCACTGAGCCACATCTCCAGCCCTTTTGTTTATTTTTTAAAAAATTTGTTTGGTTGTCCATAGACCTTTATTTAATTAATTAATATGTGGTGCTGAGAATCTGAACCCCAGTGCCTCACACATACTAGGCGATCACTCTACCACTGAGCCACAACCCCAGCCCTCTATATTATTTTTGAGACAGAATCTCACTAATTTGCCCAGGCTGACCTCAAACTTGTGATCCTTCTGCCTCAGCCTCTCTGGGAACTGGGATTGCAGCTGTGCCAACCACACTGGACTAGGAAGTAGAATTTGAGCCTTCCCTTTAGGATGTGGCCTGGTCAAGAAGTTAGCAGAGTGAGGTGTGGTGGTGCCTGTCTAAGATTGAGGCAGGAGTAGCAAGTTGTCAGCCTGGGCAACTTAGTGAGACCCTGCCTCAAATAAAATCAAAAGGATGGGGGATGTGGCTCAGTGGTAAGGTACCCCAGGGTTCGGGAGAAAAAATAAACATTTATTAACTATCTGCATTATTCCAATTAATCCTCTATACAGTCTCAAGTTCTGTACTGATCAGATGGGGAAACAGATGCTTAGGGATAAGTAATTCCCCAAGATCAATATAGCACTGGGCACGGTGCTGCATGCTGGGAATCCTAGCAAATCAGGAGGCTGAGGCAGGAGGATGGCAAGTTCAAGGTTAGCCTCAACAACTTAGCGAGGCTCTAAGCAATTTAGTGATGCCCTGTCTCAAAATTTTAAAAAGGGCTGGGGATGTAGCTCAATAATAAAGCACCCCTGGGGTCAATCTCCAATACAAAAAAAAAAAAAAAAATTAAAGAAAAAATCAGTTTAGCACAGTATTAGCACCATCAGGGTCACACACTAAGGTCTAGAGGCTTCCAGATGTTTCATGAACCTAATTCCAGAATGTCGCCTTCGTGCGTCTTTCGGGAGTGATGTGAACAAGCCCTCTCTCTCCCTGGGATTCTGGGATTCGCAGTGTCCGCGAAGGGTCTGGACGCCAAGGGCAACAGCATCGAGCACACTCCGCTGCCGCTCCCGCCTCCGCTCTGGGCGGGTCGTTCAGGGGCCCTTCTTTCTCTCTTCTTTTGGGGGTACGGAATACAGAGGATTGAAACCAGGGGCTCCATACCGCTAAGGACCATCCCCAGCCCCCTTAATGTTTTATTTTGAGACAGGGTCTCCTTGTTGGCCTCGAACTTGCGATCTCCTGCCCCAGCCTCCCGAGTCGCTGGGATTACTGGCCGCGCGGGCGCCCCGCGCTCAGGGAGCCTCTTCGAATTAGCCAATGAGAAGCGCACCGTCCCCGGTCGCCTGGGAAACCGCGTGACAACAAGATGGCGGCGCCGGGACGGCTCGCCGGCCCTGCGTGGTGAGTCCCGGCCCAGGGCCTTTCAGCTCCCGCAGCTCCCCAGCGGGCTGCGGCCCGAGCCCCGAGGGTCCCGCGGCCTTCCCCGGCGGGCGCCCGGGCATGGCCGTGCGTGGGGCGCAGGCGGCTCGGCGGCTCCGGGGCGGGTCGGGCCGCGGTACGTGGCGCAGCGAGCGCGTCCTGCTGGGGTTGGGGGTAGAAGCGTGCGCTGGGGTGCAGCGCTGGGCCATGGTGGCCACCAGCCCAGGAGGGAGGTCCCTCCCCAGAGACGTGGACCCCGAGGACACCGGCGCGGGTCCCAAGACCAGGACAGCCCCTAGCCTTAGGCTGCCCTGGGGTCCCCATAACGAAGGCGGGAGACCCGGCTCTGACCTCAGGTCCTCCACTCTGAAGTTGAAGGAGACACAGCCGTGTGCCCAGGAATCCCCAGAAGTCCCCAGACTGATGGGGAGACGTTGTCTCCGCCCTCGGAGGTCTCCCGTGAGCCAAGGGGAGGTTAATCTGGACACGGAGTGTCGAATTGGACCGGAGTGAGGCTGGAAGCAGGGCAGTTAGGGCGGGGCCACTGTGACATCCCTTTGTGCAGCAAGCACCCTCTGAGGGTGGCCAACAGTGAGCACGGGAAGGAGGGACTGTGGTGAGACATTGTAGAGTTTAACCTGCAGGATTCGGTGACTGATCGGATTAGGAGGGAAGAAAGGAGAGAATTTTGTGCTTGATGATGGGGTCCGATTACAAAAGGGGGAGATGGAGGAGCTGCTTTTGTGGGGAAATGTTGGGTTGGGTTAGGGGACCTTTTTTTCTCCATGACAGCTTTATTGATATATGACTCATATACATTTCAGCTTTATTGATATATAACTCATAAACATTTCGCTTTTTTAAGTTACAAATTTCCATCATTTTTATAGATATTCCATTTAAATGAAATGTCCAAAATGGTCAAATCTATAGAGACAGAAAGTAGATTAGTGGCTGCCCAGGGCTGACTCGGAAAGACAGGACTGGCCTGGAGGGTAAATTGGGGGTGACTGCTGAAGGGTACAGAGTTTTCTGTTTGTTTTGGTACTCGGGATTGAACCCGGGGAAGCTTCACCACTGAACTACATCCCCAGTCCTTTTACCTAGTAATTTGAGACAGGATGTCACTAAGTTGCTGAGTCTGACTTCCAACTTGTGTGATTCTCCTCAGCCTCCAAGTTACTGGGATTACAGGTGTGCACCACCCCACCTGGCTACAGGATCTTTTTGTGCTGATGAAAATGTTCTAAATTTGTGGTGACAGTTTCACAACCCCATGAATGTATCAAAAACTTAACTTTACACTTTTTAAAGGGTGAGGTATGTGATTTAAGTCTTAACAAAGCAATTTTAAAAAAATACTACATACTATGTGATTCTATTTACGTAACTTTCTTGAAGTGGATATAAGAGCGGCCTTTGCTTGGGGTTAGGGCTGGGAAGGGAGGTTGTGACCCTGAAGAGGCAGCAGGGGGAAGACTGTGGAGAAAGACAAGGCCGCTTCTCATACCCTTCGTCTCCCCAAGTGATTAGAGGGCACCAGCTGTACAAAGCCTCTGATCTTGAACTATGATTATATAAGATGTAGCTATTGAAGGAGATTGAATGAAGAATACCGGGATCTCTCTGTACCAGTTCCCTAATTTCTTGTAAATCTATAATAATTTTGAAATAAAAAGCTAAACTGAAGGACAAGGAGAAAAAAAAAAAGAGGTGTCAGCCTGGTCAAGGGACGAACACGGGCGAGAAGGGGAGTTCCAGGCAGGGGGAGCTGCGTGCGCTTGAGGTACTGCCTGCAGCTCAGCTGGCAGAGTGCAGGGCGGTCAGGTGGAGGGTGTCGTGGTCAGGTGGAGGGTGAAGTCAGGAGACATGGACAGGCACCAGATGTAGGAATTTTGACTTTTTTTTTTTCCTGTGGTTGAGAAGGAGCCCGTGGGAGCTTTGTGAGGGATGTGTCATGTCACTTTTGTGTTTTAAGATGCCTCTGGCAGTGTGTGGAGGTTGGTGAGGGCAACCAAGAGGGGCTGCCATCCTTGGCCAAACACCACGAGGATGCCCAGACCAGACAGGGCAGGGCAGGGGCAGGGTGGGGAGGCTGGAGGATGGGGGTGAGGACACTGGGCCTGGGCCCTGGGGGAAGGATTCTCCTGAAGAAGGGGCAGGGCATGAGCACTACCCTCTAGAACAAAGGCACAGGTGGCTGTCTTGAGCTGTTGGCAGCTTCAGGGCCGGGGCAGAGGCCAGTGCCACATCTCCCAAGAGGAACCTCCTCAAAAGACTTGGTTCAGACTCTCAGTAATGGAGGGCCTTTCTTTGACTCTAAGACATCTAGGTATTAGTCTTTTCTTTCTTTCTTTTTCTTTTTTTTTTTGTGGTACTAGGGATGGAACCCAGGGGCACTCTACCACCAAGCTACATCCCAGCCCTTTTTATTTTGAGACAGGGTCTCGCTAAGTTGCTGAGGCTGGCCTTGAATTTGTGATCCTCCTGCCTCAGCCTCCTGAACAGCTGGGATTGCAGGTGTGTGCCACCATGCCCAGCAATATTAGCCACTTAATACATTTAATGTACTGCATAGAGTAGTGGCCCCTCTCTGCATCTTGGTGTGCATACCTCTTTACTGGAAGAAAGAGGAAAGGAAGGCAAACCAACAGTTATGAGTGTCTAGTTCTAGGTGCCAATAACAACAAACCCCACAATAGCCACGCTCAGTTTTCAAGTACTTCCTTTGAGCTTGGCACTGGGCTGGGTGCCTTGTTTCTCTGAATCCCTTGGTAACCTGCCTGGGTGGTACTGTTACTGTCTGTATTTTGCATCAGAGGAACTGAGGTGCCGGTTACACAACGGGTGGCAGAATCTGCAGAGTCTGGGTTCTTGACCTATGTATCACTTAGGCGCGGTTTTGGCTGAATCTTGCCCCTGGGTTGCCCTCTCTGCCTCTGTGGGTTGGGCATGTTTGCACAGGTGGCACCTGGGTTCTAATAGGAGAGGAGGAGACACCTGGGCTTTGTATCCGCCAGCTCACTGATGGATGGACAGAAGCCCCAGGCCTCCTGCTGTAGTCTTTTACCCAGGCTCTAAGTTTGGAAAGCTCCAGACAAAGGGGCTGCACCACCCCGCTTCACAGCACTGTCCCCAGCACCTCCAGGTCTCCGTGTGCAGGGCAGAGAGAGCCGGTTACCCAAAGGAAAAGGCCACCAGACCCTCTGCCAGGCATTGGAGGAGTGAGGGCCACTTCTCCTGGACAGTGCTCCCTCTTAGGAAGAGTAGATAGAGAAGAGAAGCTTCGGGCTACTCCTGGGCCTGAAGCCATAGGTCCCCACTGTCCCCAAGGGCTGACTTCCTCTTTCCTCTCAGGGAGTTACTGACAGCTAGGATCTAGACTAGAACTATGAGCTCACCTCTGGCCTCCCTTAGCAAGACCCGGAAAGTGCCCCTGCAGTCGGAACCTGTGGATCCTGGGTAAGAAGCTGGCCTTGTGGGGTCTTTGTGTCCCTGCCCCTTTGTCCACCTTGGCCCTCCCTGGCCAAAGGAGAATGACTCCTACTATCCTGAGAAATGCCAAGAAGAGGTACGTGCCTTTATCCGACCACTTTCTTTCTCTTTAAACCTTCTTCTGAGGAGCTGTCCTTTGTGACTAACGGTTAATTGGATGGTACCTTTTTGTAAGGCACAGGCCCTGTGGAGGTGGCTCAGTGCCTGGCGTTCCCTGTCCACTTACTAATTCTGCAGACTCGGATGGTCTGCCCACTCTGGCCCAGGCCTGGGTGGGCTCTTGGGAAAGGGGAGTCTCTTCTACCTTTTATCAGCTTCACCCTGCTCTGCTGAACACCTCGTGGAATCCTTATAGGCTGAGGTGGTCCAGAGGTTGAGTGACAGACCTGGGGACCTGCAGTCACTGCAGAGCAGAGCAGAGCAGAGCCAGGGCTGGCTCATGGATTTTGGAAGTCTTAGTCTCCCATAGGACCTGCGGGCTCCCCTGTCCTTCTTATTGGAAGGAGTCACGTTCTGAAGCATGTCCCTTGGCTCACCTTCACTAGGGATGGGATTTCGGGGTAGCAGTTCTCAGGAGGCAGAGGCCCCGCTTCTGACTCTTTTGGCTTTGGCTGGGACTTGGGGCCTGGAACCTTTTCCCTAATGGACTTCCGGGGACTTAATTTGTTTTTCCCTTCTCCTTCCTGCTTGGGTTCCCAGAAGGCGAGGGATAAGAATCTATGGAGATGGTAAGTGTGGGCTGTGTCCTAGTGTCCCCTTCACCTCCGACCTGCCTGGAACGCCTCTGGCTGCCCCTGGGCCTCAGCAGCCCTCCCCACCCCCAGGCCTGGGCTTCCCTCCTGGCTCTGCCCCTCAGCAGAGATGTCTTCACAACTTCTGACCCCTCAGTCCACTGAAGGTTTGGCGGTGGGTGCCTGGAAACTATGCAGGGACCAAGAGGGGTGGCCCAGCCTCCTCGCCCACAGCCTCCACCAGCCTCTTCTCCCTGGAGCTGACCTCACACCTTTGTCCTGGCTCCTCTCCTGTCAGATCCTAGCCCACTCATACCCCTCTGTGGCACTGCTGTGGCCACTCCAGCCTCCCAGGAGCTGGCCTGGGAACTCCAGGAAGAGGACTATTTTAATTGGATCCTTGCCCGAGCCCCCAAATGACCTGCCTTCATACTCGTGGGGGCAGTGTGTGGGCTGCTTCTCCTCAGCTGGGGCCTAGGGTCCAGGGTCCCTCTGGGACTCAGCCCCAGGGCGGTGACCTGAGCCTCCATGTCTGCAGAAGATGAGGTGGATATGCCGAACGATGGGCCTGGCTCTGAAGAACAGATCTCTGTCCCTTCCTGCTACAGCAACAAATTTGCTTCTGTGAGTGGGCCAGGTGAGACCAGAGGCCTGCAGCTGGAGGGGCCCCAGAGGAGGGCGAGGCCCTGCAAGCCAGGGCTCCTCCACTTGTCTGCTGAGTCTGAGGTGGCTGCTCCTGCCCCGGCTGACCATGGCCATGTGCCTGTACATCCAAACCTGCCTAGACCTAGTTGTCACAAGGCCGCACACCCCCTGGCTCAGCCTGGGAGGCCAGGCTGTGGCTGGAGCCTCTGGAGTCCCCATCACGTGTGATGTCCGCAGGCCCAGGGTTCAGGGGGAGAGAGGATGCAGGGCCTAAGCGGGGAGCTCAGCCCCTGGCCACCTGCTCCCTGTGCCTGCAGGGCACCATCCCCTAGGTGGCTCTCTTAGCTGGCCCACAGCATCTGCAAGGGCTGGTGGAGGTGTAAACAGTGGCATGGGGACCACTAGGGCAGCTGCCCAGAGGAGGGAGTGCTTATTGGCCTGGGGACGGGAGACCAGGCAGGCGGGGATGAGCTGCGTGGGGTGCGGGGAGGCTGGGACTGGGGTCAGCACTTGCGTCAGTGTGGTGTCTCAGGTGGGCCGCCTGTCTCTGCCTTCGTGTCCTCCCAGTGCAGCGTCCTAAGGAAATGCTGCTCAGCAGAGAGCCCCTGGCCAGTACTGGTCACAAGGGGCCCTCAGAGTGGTGGCCACCGATCAGGAAGTCGGCTATAGGAAAGGGCCTGGCAGATGCCTCTAACCCCAGCTCTTCACAAGGCTGAGGCAGGAGAATTTCAAGTTCAAGGCCAGTCTTGGCAATCTAGCGAGACCCTGACTCAAAATTTAAAAAAAAAGAAAGAAAAGAAAGGGGGGCTGGGGACGTGGCTCAAGCGGTAGCGCGCTGGCCTGGCATGCGTGCGGCCCGGGTTCGATCCTCAGCACCACATATAAATAAAGATGTTGTGTCCGCCGAAAACTAAAAAATAAAAATAAAAAAGAAAAGAAAAGAAAAGAAAGGGCCGGGATGTAGCTCTGTGGTGGGGCCCCTGGGTTCAGTCCCCAGCACCACGAAACAAATCAATAAACAGCCTGATGAGTCTTGACCAACCCCCTCCATTTGACAGGAGGGGGATTGAGGTGAAGAGCCGGTCTCGGTCCTGAATCACAAAGCCGGGGGTCTCCTGCCCCCAGCCGGGGGGCGGGTCTTGGTAACAGGAGGAGCCCCTCCTCTTAAAGGAGCTCTGGGCCTCTGTCCCTGTCTCCTCCCCTGCCATGTACTTCTCATCCATTCCCAGCCAGTGGCTGTCCCCACCAACATCTATAGGAGCTTCCTGCCCTGCTTCTCTGCTGAGCGGCATCTGAGCTGTCCCCCATTCTCAGAACACCCTCAGCTCGTGGACGCCCTGTCACCGGCCCCTCAGATGCCCTCCTGCCAGTCTCTTCCCCCAGCTGTCTTTGCCAGCACCTTCTTCACTCCCAGCCTTTCAGTGTGGCTGTCCACCTGCCTGGCCTCTTGTCCCTCTCTCCACCCTCTCCCCACCCTCTCCCCATCCTCTCCCAGTGAGTTACCCACATTGCATGTGCTGGCAGCTCCTGAAAGCTGACAGGTCACCTCAGGGGCTTTTGACTACACGTTAGAGAGGACCCTCAGTCAACCTGCACAGGCAGTGGGGAGATTTGTTATCCCATGTGCTGAGGCCCCCTGAGGAGGCAGCTCCAGGGCTGCTAATTCAGTGACTCAAAGACATTGTCAAGAGTTCTGGGGTCAGGCCAGGAGCGGTGCGCATGCTTATAATCCCAGACACTCTGGAGGCTGAGGCAGGAGGATTGCAAGTTCAAAGCCAGCCTCAGCAAAAATGAGGCAGTTAGCAACTCATCAAGACCCTGTCTCCAAATAAAATACAAAAAAGGGCCGGGGATGTGGCTCAGAGCTTAAAGCACCCCTGGATTCCATCCTCAGTACTACAAGGAAAAAAAAAAAAAGTTCAGGTTTCTCCCTCCCCAACCCCTGCTCAGTTCCTCTGGGCATCCTGCTTGGTTGGCAATGGCTCTAGTACCTGCCTCACAGCACGGAAGGTGTCCAGGAAAGGAAGGAGACCAGTTTCTTCCATCTCTCTCTTTTTCCATTTCTCAAACTTTTTATTTTGAAAATTTTCCAGTATACAGAAAAGTTGAAATAATAGTGCAATTAATGTCCTTTTGTGGGGGCTGCGGTTGTGGCTCAGTGGTAGAGCACTTGCCTAGCATGCGTGAGGCACTGGGTTCAATTCTAAGCATCACATAAAAATAAATAAATAAATAAATAAATAAATAGTATTGCATCCATCTACAACTAAAAATATTAAAAAAAAATACCCATATGTCTTCCTTGACAGCTGCAGGTGGTTGGCTACATTGGCCTTTTCTCTCTCCATCTACTCACATATATAAATACAAATGGCTTTTTTTTATATTTATTTTTTAGTTGTAGTTGGACACAATACCTTTGTTTTATTTATTTATTTTTATGTGGTGCTGAGGATCGAACCCAGGGCCTCGCAGGCGCTAGGCATGTGCTATACCGCTGAGCCCCAGCCACAGCCTGACAAATGTATTTTTAAGATGCACAATTTGGAAATGAATTGCAGAGATGTCATTTCATCCCTAACACTTCAATAGGTATCTTTTAAGAATAAGGAAATGCATGCTCACAATACGACTGTCCCACCCCAGCACATGAGTTATTTAGTAACATCTACCATCTGTCCCTTCTACAGTCAAACCTCCTCAGGGTTCCACAATCTCAGTGATTTTCCCCCTGATCCAGGATTGATCCCAGAGTCCTGCACCACACCTAATTGTTATTCTTCTCTACAACAGTCTCCCTTCCTTTTAAAACAATGACATCGACTTTTTGAAGAGTTCTAGACATGTGTCTTTCAGAACACCCCAGTTCTGGATTTGTCTGGCCATGCACCTGGGTGACGTTGGCCTCCTCTTTTATTCTCTGCATTGCCTGCAAACTGGAGGTTCGAATTTGAGGCTTCATTAGATGGAGGATGACCCTTTTTTGGGGGGTTGGGTGGATTCTGGAGATTTAACCCAGAGGCGCTTTACTACTGAGCTATCTCCCTTGCTCTTTTTGTTTGTTTGTGAGGGGGTTTTATTTATTTATATTTTAAGTTGTTTAGTGAGGCCTCACTAAGTTGCTGAGGCTGGCCTTGAACTTGCCATCCTCCTGTCTCAGCCTCTTGAACTACTGGGATTGTAGATGTTCGCCACGAGGCCTGGCAAGACTTCAAGGTGGTGCAGCTCACGTGTTCCACCACATACTTACACGCTTTGGACAAGTTAATGCAGCTCAGTGTCCTGAGACAGCTCGTCTACCTCACGGGCACATTGCCAGAGTTACAGAAGCTGATGTGCGTAGCGTTCCCAGCAGTTCCTATCATGTGATAGCTGCTATTGGTGTTTTTATTTCTGCTCCAGATCCTTTCCCTGGACTTTCCTGCCTCAGTATCCCCTCCAGGCCTGGACTCTAGGGGTTTTGTCTGCTTGGCAGGTCCCCCATACCATGACTCAGATCTGGCGAGGAAGATGCAACAACTGGAGCAGCAGGTGAAAGCCCAGAGTGATGAGCTGGTGTCCAAGGTGGGCCTCAGGGGAGGGGCCAGGCTGGGTGGGCTCTAGGACCAACTTCCCCACTGAGTTTCCTGGTTTGATGGCCAGGTGTGGCCTGGAACCGATCTGGGTCCCTGGGACCTTAGCAGAGAGGCTGGGGTCTCCTCCACAGCCGAGCAGGGCCTGGTCGACCTGGATGGGGCAGTGGGACACTGGGCCCTGGGCAGCGCTGGCTGCACCCTTCCTCACCTCCGTGGGACCACAAGGGTTGTTATAGGAGGCCCAGGAACAGTGGCGGTGCCAAAGTCGTCAGGGGCACGGTCTTTGTGCTTCCCTGTGCCTCGAAAAATTCCCGTTCTTCCTATTTGGCTCTGGGACCCTCCGGGCCTGGCCTCACGCCGTGTCTTGCTTCCGCAGGATCAGAAGATCCTGGCCCTGGAGGACCTGGTGCAGCGCCTGCAGCAGAACCAGGGTGAGAGGCCCTTGTGGAGGGCTGACCACGACTCCTGGGAGTGTGGGCAGTGACTTCATCGGGGCTCCAAGACCATCAAGTGGACTCCTTGGTGGGGTTTGGACAGCTGGGCCAGGGAGGGCAACGATACCTCCGGGGCAGTGCTGGACTCATCCAGTACCTGGCTTCATGGCACCGAGTCCCCTGAGGCGTGCCATCCAGAGCATGGAAGAGACATGCTCCAGGGGTACTGGTGGCCCCTTGAGAGTCAGCCAGGGTGCCCACAGGGTTAGGGAGACACCAAAGGGATGGGCCCAGAGGCAGTTCTCGGGGATCCCCAGATGACCCTCGGGCCAGCACACCTGGAAGCCTCCAGGTTGGGCAGCTGAGCCTCACCCTGGTTTCCTCTGAAGGTGAGGTAAGTGGGCAGCGGCAGGAGGAGCTGCAGACCATGTGCACGCAGCTGCAGCGGCAGGTCGGGGAGATGGAGGTGAGAGGCAGGGCGGAGGGAGGGGCAGCCAGCCCGCCGCACCCTGGCCGGAGCCTCCCTCCCTGGGCCCTTCCTCACTAAGCATCCCAACCAGGGCCCTTGCCCTGTCTCCCTGCCCAGGACTGACCCAGAGTTTAAAGAGCCAGGGAGGTGTCCAGAGCCAGGGTATGTCCCTCCTCCTGGGCTGGATCAAACTCCTAACATGCCCCTCTCCGCCTGATAGACCTCATGGCTTCTCATGGGGTTCAATTCCAAAGTCTTTACTGCATGCTAACCCTTGTCCACCTCTTCGGTCTCACCTTGAACCATGCTCTCCTTCAACCCTGGGGCCCTTCCTCCAGTTCTTTGACTACATCAAGCTCTTTCCTACCCCAGGACGTTTGCCCATGCCTTTCCGTCTGCCCAAGTGTTTTCTTATTTATCCTGGGGAGCTTCCCCGTCCTCATCTGTCTCCTCTGGCTGCCCTCCCAGCCTCTGGCCTGCTGGATCTCCTGGCCTCTGATCAAAGCAGGTCCTATCCTCTGCTTCCTTAGCCCCTCATCTCTCTTCCCCTGTGGAGCTGTGAACTCCACGGGACAGCGATCACCCAGGAACTAGGGCTGAGCCATCCCTGTCTTAGTGAATTCTCACCCAGTGACCCTATCACCTGAGTCACCTTTCTTCCATTCAACACCCAGTCCAGCAGCAGGGTCCTCTGCCCATTCCCTTTGTCCAGGCAGCTCTGGGGCCCAGGACTGAGGCTGGGGCTTAGGCCAGTGCTGCCTTTCCGTGCAGGAGGCTGAGCTGGCTGTCCCATGTCTCCCCTTTGCCCCACAGCGGTTCCTCAACGACTACGGCCTGCAGTGGGTGGGTGAGCCTATGGACCAGGAGGATTCGGAGGACAAGACGGTCTCAGAGGAGGAAAAGAGGGACTGGATGACCGCCAAGAAGTTCTGGAAGCCAGGTATGGAGAGGGCCTGCCCCGCTCCTTTCGAGGGATCTCTCCAGTGGATTCCTGTTGGCCCCCAGCTCTCCAGATCCCCTCATTTGTGCCTGGCCACCCAGCATAATGGGCCTCCAAGGGAGCCCACCCTTGCTCTGACCCAGAGAAGGGAGGGCCAAGACCTCAGTCACTGACCGCCTGGCCTGCCCTCCTATATCTTCCCTAATGTCACCTTAGTCTGCGTGCTTATCTGTCAAAGGCTCCAGGGACCCAGAGTCACAGGACGCAGCAAGACTAAAGCAGCTGCCTTAAAAGAGCAGCCCCTCTGTTCTGGAAGCCCCTCTTCAATTCCAAGGCTGAGTCCCCTCGTGGATCCCTTTGCAGGTGCATCTATGAGCCAGACCATTGAGATCACCTGCTTCCCGGGACCCCAGCTCTTCTCATGTCTCACGCAATGGCTGATATCCAGAGGGGTGCCTCCCGCCCTTCCTTCCCTAGATTTGGGTCCATAGCACTGGCTGATTCTGAAACTGGCCATAGATAGTTCCCCAGGCTTCAGAGTCAAATCAGATCCTCATCTTAACCCACCACCTACTACAAGTGTGGTTTGGGCAAATGACTTCCCTTCTCTGAGCCTCAAGTTCTCCATCAACAAAATGGGGGTACACTGGAGACGGTGAGCTAAACACGGAACGCCTCGCCCTGGCCATGTGTGTCATGAGCCTAACAAGTAGGAGCTCTTGTCCTCCAAGGTCTTTGTGAAGGCAGCGGAGCTTTCTGGAACAAGAGTGCTGCTCTTGAAGGAGGAACTGGGGAAGATGACAACACTCTCTTGATTCTTGAAGTTTCCTGCTGGGTAAAAGCCCAGATTCCTCATTGGAGCCCTACTTCCTATTTAGTCCTGGGCTTTGGCCAGATCCACTAAGTCTCAGGACAACCCCCCACCACACACACACACCGCTTGTTCTAAATGACTTCCCGTCTGTGCAACCTTTGCAGCTTTCAGAGCATTTTTGCAAGCTGCCTTGGCATGGCACAGAGGTTATTCCATTTTACAGAGAGGCAAATGGAGGCACTTATGGAGTCTGAAGACTGTTGAGTGGAGGGGGCAAGGCTTAGGGCTGAGAGCCCGCTGGGAAGGCAGCCCCAATCAGAGGATAAGGGATGCCCAGCGTAAGGGTGGTGAGGGTGAGAGCCACAGAGAGAGACTTGGGAGGTAGGACCCACAGCCTTGGTAATTGGGGCAGTCCTGGGCGGTGGGGCGAGCCCTGCCGCCCAGGATGTTGTGGGCTTGGCGTGCAGCAGCCTGACTCAGTGTAGGTTCCATGGTGGGGCTCTCCAGGGACCTAGGACCGGGTTGAGAGGCAAGGCCTTAACAGGTGGCTGCAGATGCTATAAGAATATCTGTCCTGGGGTCTAGGGCTGGTGCTTGCAGTCCTGCTCCCAAGCCCCCTCCACGCAGGATGGGCTCTGGCTTCACAGGGTCCTCCCATCTTCCTGGAGAGCAGCCTTCCTTCTGGCCAGTGGGGACCTCCCTGCTCCCTTTAGGAAGGGGTTGGACCAGACAGCTGGTTTCTTGGACATTGCGTTGTGGATTCCTACTCTTCCCCCACCCAAAAAGGAGCAGCCTCCCCCTGCTCTGCTTTGTCGGTGTGCTCTGAGGGAGGCCGACTGTGGAGCCAGGTGTTTCCCAGCTAAAGCTACAGCTGGGAGTGCCCACACTCATCTGGGAGCTCCCTGGCCGCACAGCCCTCTGGTCCTCTGTGCGTCTTTGCCCTTCTTCAGCCTTTTTTGTTTGTTTGTTTTGCAGGCTGGAGATCCGACCCAGGGCAGTAGCGCTGGGCCAAGCCCCTGCCGCCCTTCTTTTGCCTTTTAATTTTCAGTGTGGGAGGGGCCTCCCCTGATCTCCTCCAGATGAAGAAGTTTTCCATTTCCAGCAGCTTTGCCTCCTGGGACCTCTCTTTTCTCACTCCAGGAGCCAGCTGGTTCCTTCCCCAAGGACCCCGTGTTCCCACCCCTGGCCTCTGGCTGGCCTGCTGCTCTTGTTAAGGACCCGACCCCCTGGGTTCTTAAGCTGTCTATCAGAAGAATGAGACAGAGGCTCTGTGCAACTCTCAGGAACAAGGTCTTTATTCTTATGCTCGAGCACAAGGGAGGCCGCGTGTGGGAAGCAGAAACCCCAGACTGACTCAAACAAGGGATGCATTTATGGCATCTGTGGGGTAGGCTGGGACCCGAATGCCTGATGTCATCCTGTGTAGAGGTGGCATTTTAGTGGTGCCTGCGCTCTCCCTCCTCACGGTTCTTCCTGTGACACATGTCTGTTATCCTGCTAGGTCTCCACCCCTGGTGATCACCGTGTTGATAGGGCAACACCGTAGGGTGTTCTAATGGCCATTCTACACACGTGCTTGCCCCTAACACCTGGAATCGCTCCTCATCACCTGGGAAAGTTCCTGATTTGGTTTTGGAGTAGGGCAGACCATTGTCTGCAGATGCTGTGTTTTGGTACCAGGAATTGAACTCAGGGATGCTTTAACACTGACCTACATTTCCAGCCCTTTTTACTTTTATTTTATCTATTTGTTTATTTTGGTACCAAGGATTGAACCCAGGGGTACTTGACCCTGAGTCACCTTCCCAGCTCTTTTAAACTTTTTCTTTTCTTTCTTTCTTTCTTTTTTTTTTTTTTTAGAGACAGGGGCTCACTAAGTTGCATAGGATCTAACTAAATTGCTGAGGCTGGCCTCCAACCTCCTGTCTCAGCTTCCTGAGCTGCTGGGATTACAGGTGTGAGCCACCGTGCCTGGCTTATTTTTTATTTTGAGACAGGGTCTTGCTAAGTTGCTGAGGTTCTTGTTAATTGCTAAAGCTGGTCTTGAACTTGTGATCCTTCTGCTGCAGATTCCTAATTTGCTGGGATTATAGGCGTGCCGTGGGTTTAATCTTAAAGACCTTGTTTTTCTTAGCCCTGGCTTCCTGGCTCTCCACTGACCATACTGTCTTTGAGGGCAGCTCTGACTTCTTGTCCTCCCACCTCCTGGTGTATCATCTCAACTGTGTAGCCCTGTCCTACTTTTTAAATTCCCAACATATTGGCATGATGCTTAACCCCACAGTACAGGACTGACTTAGGATGTCACTTTGGCTCTGACTTCCTGGGTCCCCTTCTGTTGTACACCCCTCTCCATGGGCTTTGGGGCAGAGGCCAATGGACTGGTGAATCAGACCATCTGTATTAGGCCAGTGGGGAATAATTAGAATGTTGTAGGTCCTGGAACTCTTGCCTTAGGAAGGAGAGTCAGTCGTGCCCATGAAGGGGGGCCCAGCAGGGGCAAAGCCTGGCCAGGGATGGACCTCAGCTTGGAGCCTTTATCCCTCCATGCCCTCTCACCAGGATGTGAGAATCAGGCTACAGTGCCAGGTGCTCTGGGGCATGTGAAGACATGAAAGGGACAGTCCTGCTCTGGTCAATCACCATGGGCCAGGTGTGGGCCTCAGGGCTGAGGGCTCTAGTCAGCTGTGAGCTGGATATGACATCCCCCTTTTGTCCCTGGGCTCCTGCCCTTCCTCCATTTCTCCCGCCTCCTGTGCCAGCCCCCGCCTCCCCCAGCCTTCCTCCCAAGCCCCAAGACCCTGAGCCTGTGCTGGTGCTTCTATCCAACTCCCAGCTCAGGAAGCCACACTCACTCCATGGGTAGTGGCCAGCGTAACTTGTCCCTGGGCCACCCTTGGTGCCCTCCCCCTGCCCTGGCCTAGGCAGCGGCAGGCCTGACTTCTCCCCACCCTCAAGCCACCTCCAGGCCTGGCTGGCACTCTTCACCCCCAGAGGTGTCTTGCCTTCTTCTCTTCCATCCCCTCAAGCTCAGCTCGAATCTGATCACCAGTGAGTCTGTGCCGATGGCTGGGCAGCCCCGGGGGATGGGGTCTGCAATGGCACGAATGGCTTCCAGGCTTAGGCTGGGGCTGGGTGGGGTCACTGAGCCTGGTGACTGCTGGTCTCCGAGACCATTCCCTCTTCTAAGAAAGGGGGGGATAAGTAGCACTGAGGGGCTCCGAGGGCTGCTGAAAGCACTGAATGAGTGCATGGGGTGCTTCTGGTGGGGGGCCATGACCAGCAGCCTGTGTGGCTTAGCTGTTGTCATGCCCCAGAGCACCCAGCATGGTGCTTGGCATATAGATCAGGGCACCTTCACCTGCAGGAGCTAGGCTGTGGTGGCCACTGTGTCTGAGCCTGGACCATCAGAGCATGTTGGGACAATCCACAGGATGAGGTGGGGACTGGGTGGCACTATGTTCAGTGGGCAGGGACAGAGAGATATAAGTGGAATCCCACGGGCCCAAGGTCACAGGCTGGCTTGGTCACAGGCTGGCTTGGTGTTACGGCAGCAACCGGGCTCAGAGCCTCTTCTGTCGGCCCTGGCTCCTCCGAGGAGCAGAGCAAATGTGTGTAAGTCCCCAGAGCGGGCCTGACGTACAGATAGGTGGTAATGATGGCTCCACTTCCTGTTGCAAGAGGGCATGGGGAGGTAGGGACAGGTCACGGAGGCTGTCGGAGATCTGAGGACGAAGGACAGGTCAGCACATGCTTCTGGAGCACCTCCTTGGGCCAGCCAGGGCTCAGCACCCCAGCCTGTGATGAAGGCTCAGCCAGTGTGGTCGAAAGGCAAACAAGCACATATAAAATGACAACAACCTGTGACCAGGGCCGAAGGAGTGGGCCAGGTGCTCCAGGAACCCACCCATGATGGGAAAGGCCCCTGGCCAGGCTTCTCAGAGGAGGTGGGTGGTGAGTGCAGCCCAAGCCTAGAGCCCAAGAGTGAGTAGGAGGTGTCGTGACAACAGCAGCCACCACCAACCACGCACTTTCTCAGAGCCTTGAGCAGCCCTGGGAGCAGAAAGTATTGTCCTCATTCTACAGAAGAGGAAGCTGAGGCTCAGGGAGGCCCACCTGCCCAAGGTCACAGAGCTCAGGGTGGGAGGGAGAAGCCCACTGAAGGGAGCCAGGCTCAGGAGTGGGGGTGAGGCCAGGCTTGGCCCCATGCTGCCGCCTCCCTTTTTAATATAGCCATAGTTCTCAAAGGTGGATGAGGCCTTGAAGATGATCTCCCAGCACAGCAGCCCTCGCTTGAAAGAGACCCAAGGGAGTGAGATCCCAAGAGCCAATACTCAGCAGCAGCCTACATGGTCACTGAGAGCTGAGGTGGTTACCCAGGCTCTGCAGGCTGCATGGCCTGGGTAACATGACACTACTCAAGGCCCAGTTTCCTCATCTGTAAGATGGGGATGGTAATATACCCCTCTCCAGGTGCTCGATAGGGAATCCTCACTTATGGAGAAGCTCAGAAGCCCAGCCTTGCAGGCAGCCAGGGTTCTTTTATTGATTGAATTTTTAACTGTACTGGGGATTGAATCTGGGTATTTCACCACTGAGCTACATCCACTGCCCTTTCTATATTTTTTATTTTGAGATAGGGTCTTGCTAAGTTGCCCAGGCTGGCCTCAAGCTCACAAGCTGGGCAATCCTCCAGACTCGGCCTCCCAAGTAGCTATGATTACAGGTGTGTGCCACCCTGCCTGGCCTGGCCGGGGTTCCTTTGTACCTGTTCCACAGAAAGGAGTGTTGTGGCTCAGAGGAAATGTCCCCTCACCCAAGTCCTGCTGCCATTTAGAACAGAGCTGGACTTGTCCCTGGCCACCTTCACCCTGTGTGGGCTTCTACTGCATCTCTGTCCTGATATGGGGTCAGGCCTTTGGAGAATACTCGTGGCGTGGGGCTTAGTGGCTTTCCAACTCTGAAATGTGTGGCAACACCAGGCTCTGTCTTCTTCCTCCAGCTCTGGATTGTCCAAAGCTGTGATTCCTCCTTCCTGGGCCCCTTGTCCCTTCTCCTGTCTACTGGACCCAATACCTGCCCAGCTCACCCCATCTGGTTTCATTTTTCCAAGCCCTAGTCCAGCTGATTGGCAGCAGCTGAGCTAGATTTCCTTTTCTTTTTCTAGGTCCTGAGTTAAACCCCAGCCCCTGGGGCCAGTTTTCTTTTTTCTTTTCTTTCAGTACTAGGGATTGAGGCCAGAATGCTCTACCACTGAGCTACGTCCCCGGCCCTTTCACTTTTCATTTTGATACAGGGTCTTGCTCATTTGCCCACACTGGCCTTGAACTTGAGATCTTGCCTCAGCCTCCCAAGTTGCTGGGATGATAGGCATGCACCATCACCTGGCTTGGGGCCAGTTTTTTGACCAACTTCTTTCCCCTTTCATTGCTTCTTGGCATCCTCCCTTGGGCTTCCAGGGGAAAGTTTGTCCCTTTCCCCTGCCAGCTACCCCATGTCTGTCAGGTGCCTGAAGCCCCGGACTCAGGAGGCAGCTTGGGGCAGGGCAGGAGTATTGGCTTAGGTGTTAGCAGGTGTGGGTGCTCTTCTGCTTTGTTCTGTGGGATCTGACCCAGCCAAGCCAGCCAACCTTTCTAGGCCTCACCTTCCCAGGTGGAGGAGGATGGGTGGGGCTGGCCTTATATGAGATGATCTTTCCTGCTCTGATTTTTAGGCTAACCAATTTGGGCATACACTTCTCTGTCTCTCACTCCCCCCACCCTTTCTCTTCAGTATAGGGACTGAATCCAGGGGTGCTCCCCTGAGTTACTTACTCTAGCCTCCCCTGCCATTTCTTTTCTTTTTTTTTTTGAGATAGGGTCTCAGTAGATTGCTAAAGTTGGACTTGAACTTGAAATGCTCCTCAATCTCCTGAGTATCTGGGATTATAGGCATGTGCCACTGCACCTGGTTACCAATATATTCTTTTTTTTTTTTCAAAGAAAGAGAGAGAGACAGAGAGAGAGAGAGAGAATTTTAATATTTATTTCTTAGTTTTTGGCGGACACAACATCTTTGTTTGTATGTGGTGCTGAGGATCGAACCCGGGCTGCACGCACGCCAGGCGAGCGCGCTACCGCTTGAGCCACATCCCCAGCCCCACCAATATATTCTTAAAGTAGTTAGTTGTTAAAGGAAAATGATGTCTTAATGTCATTCTGAATCATACTAGGGATGCCTAGGACATTCTGTTTTTCCTGGCAGGGACTCTGTGGTACTCCAAGGGGGCCGGGGAGGGCAGGTATAGCACCTCAGGCAGTAGCAAATGTCAAGGAGAGGGGAGGGCTGGCCAGGGCGGACCATTTTGACAACTGCAAAGGCAACAGGAAACATAATCACCTGCATCTGTACATCCCTGGTAGGACCGCCGCACCACTGTGGGGAAAAGCATTGGGTCCCCAGAGGCCTGACCCACATCCTGCCACAACGTGACTGTCCTGGTGAAAAACAGCTTCCAAGAAGGCCCACAGAGTCACTTGTCTGTTGGAGAGTTGCACCCTAGTGGGCAACTTGCCTGAGGGCCAGGGCCCTTCAAAAACTGCAGAACAGGCCCTGGCCTGTGTGTCCCCAGGTGACACTTTCTGCTCTAGCGTGTCTTGGCTGTGGCACAGGTATATGTGGGGCGCAGTTTTCAGAAGAGACCAAAGATTTGGCAGCTGCTCAAAAGGGTCTGTTGCACAAAAATAGTCATATGCCCCGGGGCCTGTCCCACCTCTGTTCAGCACTGTCCCAGCACCCTCCCTAACATCTGTCCTCCCTCTCCTGATGGTGCAGGGGTGGGGAACAGGCTCTAGACTGGGCTGGTTCAAGTCCCAAGCCCTCCTCTAACTCCCCAGGTGGCCTGGGCTGAATCATTTTTCATGTCTCTGGGCCACTTTCCTCATGCGTAATAGCTCCTGCCTCAGAGCCTCGGGGCTGGCCTCAGGACCATTTGTGCAAGGTAGAGCTGGTAACAATCTAATGTGGACAGAGTGGCCCTCACACAGTCATCTTTTTGGCATTTCACAGCTGCCCTGGGAGGCAGACACTATTGTCATCCCATTCTACAAGGGACTGCTGCAGCACAGAGCATTCAATGACTTGTCTGAGGTCACACATGTAGAAGTGAAGGAGCTGGGACTGGAACCCTGAAAGGCTGGGTTCCAGGGCTGGGAGCTCTGCTCTGTGCTTTTTAGCTGCCAATCAGTGCTTGACAGGCCTGAGGTCAAATCGTGCTTCTGCCACTACTGTTCATTGCTAGGCAAGTCACTCAACTCTCTGTAACCCTCAGGTTGCTCATCCAAAAAGCCCTTACAGCATAGTGTCAGTAAGAGAAGGGGACATGATGATGGGTATTAAACCCCCAGCAAAAAAAAAAAAAAAAAAAAAAACAAAAAACAGCAAAAAGCCAATGCTCAACGAGGAGACAGCTGTTACTATTATTTAGTATTAGTTTTCCTTCCTTTTCCTTAGGTGGTCATTTAAGGAGACCCTGAGGCTACTGCCCAGCTAGGGAGAGGGCCACAAAAACCAGGGCTGCTAGGGCACACAGAAGCCATGATGAGACTCATGGATCTATCCTCTTTGCCAGGGGATTCACTAGTGCCCCCTGAGGTGGACTTTGATAGGCTGCTGGCCAGCCTGCAGGATCTCAGTGAGCTGGTGGTAGAGGGTGACACCCAGGTGACGCCAGTGCCTGGTGGGGCATGGCTCCATTCCCTTGAGCCCATCCCGCTGAAGCTCTACAGGAATGGCATCATGATGTTTGATGGGCCCTTCCGGCCCTTCTACGATCCCTCCACACAGGTAGGAGCTGGGGGTGGGGCTCTGGGGTCCCCTCCTGCCCACTGTTACATGGAGATGGTGGAGCCAGCTCACCCAGGCCCAGCCTGCCCCCCACCTAGGCCCCCATCCAAGCCCTAGGGTTTCAAATAGTTCTAGAGTCTGAGGCACTGGGGAAGCCAAGGGCCCAGGGCCACCATCCAGGCAGGCAGCCGGCCTCACCATTCTTCTCCTCACTGCAGCGCTGTCTCCGGGACATACTGGATGGCTTCTTCCCTTCAGAACTCCAGCGACTCTACCCTGATGGGGTTCCCTTTAAGGTGATGGGCTGCTCCTCAACTTACCCTTCCCAGTGTGGGGATTTTGGAGAGAATGGGGAGAAACAACTTCCACAGCATCAGCCATTCTGAAGGGGGAGCCACCGCCCCAGCACAGGGGACCTGGGTCTGATAAACTCCCGGAGAGGGTGATCCTGAAACTGGCTGGGAAGGGAGGGATAAGGCTGCCTGGCAGGGGCAGTGGCAGGGAGGTCCTGCGGCTGAACAGCAGGCAGTGCCCTCTGGTGGCACCCCGAAGGCTCAGCCTTGGCCAGACCACTGCCTGCCCTTATTCCCCAGCATTCAGGACCCGGTGACTATGACTATGCACAAGTGGCGGGGCTTCCCCTAGAGGCTCCTGAAGCCAACTGGTTGAGGTGGAAGGCAGAGCTGTGAACCACAAATGCAGAGCAGAAGGGGCAGGTGCTAGGCCTCAAGGACTTGAGCTTGTCATGGAAAGTATGAGACGAAGGGCACCACCAAAGGGCCCATGAGGCCCCAGTGGGTGGCAGGTTATTTCCACAGTGAGGGCGTGTAAGGGGGTGTGCACCACCATGGCTCAGAAAACTGCGACTCACAAGTGGGGATGTTTAAGGTGTCCATGCCAAGACAAGGCCTCAGAGCTGTGCCTTGAGGAAGCACACTAGGTGACAAGGGTCTGTGTTGCAGACTAGGCAACAGCAAGGACTTTGCCTCTCTGGACACTCCTGAGAAGGGGGGTCTCTGAGGAGGGTACTACTGTGGTTTCTGCAGGCATGAATGTGGAGTGCTTGCAGAAGCAAGGCCCAAGGAGGTGACAGAGGCATGACTGTGCTTCTCCTGCTTTCTCCCAGGGCTGCAGCCTCCTTGTCTGTAAAATGGGGATTGCATTAGACTATCCCTTGGGCCTGCTCTTGGGGCCTCTGGGCAAGCAGGGAAGGGGAGGGTCCCAGGGCTGAAGAGCTGGGCTGGCTGCTATCACCCCTTCTTCCTGCCAGGTAAGTGACCTGCGCAATCAGGTCTACCCTGAGGAAGGGCTGGGCCCATTCCCAGGTGAGGGCCGTGTGGTAGGCCGACCAAAGGTGCGCAAGGCTTCGGACAGAGTGGAGGAGTACCCAGGTAAGCTGGGCCCTGAGGCTGAGCCAGGTGGCTGGGGGGCTGGGCAGCAGAAGTTCCAGGTGGAGTCTCCCACCATTAATCACAGTTCCTCCCTGGGCCAAGTTTCCCAATGCCCTCCCTGCAGGCTCCAGGATGACTGCTGAGAAATTTCTGAACAGGCTTCCCAAGGTTGTGATCCGACAAGGCCAGGTGATTGACATCCGGGGTCCCATCAGGGACACCTTGCAGGTGAGGCTGGCCCTAATTCCACAACCCTCTTGGGGGCTCTTTACCACCAACCCTGGCCCAGCTTGCCAGAGCAGTGTCTTGCCTGGAGGCTCAGGCTTCTGGACCCTGGGGGACGGCCAGGATGGTGGGTCCCTCAGCGCTGTGCAGTGGTCTCTGGAAACTACAGAGCTGCTGAAGGCTCTGCACTGGGTCCCAGAGAGCAGCCAGACTGGCTCTAAGGGGCTAAATAAAGGCTGGGGGTGAGCCACGATGCAGTCCTGGTATCCCTTCCTGGTTGTCCCTGGCCCCCACAGAACTGGTTATCTCTTCTCTTCATCCCATCCTGCTGCTCTCTCTCAACTTCTCAGAGCATTGCTAAGTCCTGTCTGGTCTGGCCATCCCTAGAACTCTCTCCATCCCCACTGCCCACCACCCTAGGTTCTGGTGTGTCTCCCACACAATGCAACCTCCTCTGGCCAGTCTCCTGCCTCCATTCCCTGCCCCTGCCAGCCATCCTTCCCTCATAGCCTTCCCTATTGCAGTCTTCCAAGGATTCTCAGAGCCAAGTCCTTTATCCTGGCACTCAAGGCCTGTCCTGCACCACTGGGCCCCTCCCAGCTTCTCTAACTTCCTCTTTCTTCCAGTCCAACCTGATTCCCGGCTTCAGCTGTGAACTGCTGGCAATGTCCCAAATATATCACCTCCTCTAGGAGGCTTTCCCTGATCTTAGGTGATCGGTGTCCCTGCTGTTGGGAACATCCCTGTCCTCATTCCACTTATAAGGACTCCTACTCATTCTGCAGTCTCAGCTCAGGTGTCATTTCCCTCAGGAAGCCTTCCCTGACCCCAAGGTGGGTTAGAAATCTAGCCTGGTCATCGTCTTTGTGGGCTTTTGCCTCCCATTTGACTGATGGGGAGGCTTCTTGAGGGAAATGATGGGCTGCCTCCCAGAGCCTTCTTTCCTTTCCCTCTCCTCTCTTGGGCCTCAGTTTACACGAACACCTTCACCCCTGCTCAAGGATGAGTCAGTCCCTTCCAAGGGTTGGATGACTCAGGCAAGGCCTAGGGCTCTCTCTGTCCCCTCTCCATTGATGCCTTCCAGAACTACTGCCCACTACCTGCCCGGATCCAGGAGACCATAGTGGAGACGCCTGCCTTGGTGGCTGAGCGGGAAAGGTGAGGGAAGGGTGGAAAGGTGAGGGTCCAGTGGGATTTGGCCATCAGGAACACTGAAGGCCCCTGGGCCTGCAGGAGTCAGCAGTCACCCAACACACCAGCACCCCCACTCTCCATGCTGCGCATCAAGTCTGAGAATGGGGAACAAGTCTTCCTCCTGATGATGTGGCCCAATGACACTATTGGCGATGTGCGTGCCCTGCTAACACAGGCCAGGTGGGCACAGGGCAGAGGCAGGGGCTGCAGGGAGGCTCCAGCCCAATGGCTTGGCCTGATCCATTCCACTGGGCCCCCCAGGGGCATGGATGCAGCCACCTTTGAGATCTTCAGTACCTTCCCACTCATGGTCTACCAGGACGACACACTCACGCTGCAGGCTGCAGGCCTGGTGCCCAACGCAACACTGCTACTTCGGCCATGCAGGGCCCCATTGTCTGACCCTGGCCCCAACTCCAGCTCTAGCCATGAATAAAGTGCCTGGCCCTGACACCATCAGCTCTACCAGGATCTCTTGGCAGGGCAGTCTGGAGGGGAAGGCAGAGGCCAGGGAGGGGTGGTGCTGACCCCTCCCCTCAGTAACCTGAGCCTCAGCTGGCAGTACTGGCTGCTGGGTCTTCGTCGTCTGGGTTCTTCTTTCTCCTAAGAAGGGAGGCTAAGTGGATCTGTGAAGGGAAGGATCCTGAGGAGGGAGTTGCCAACCCCAGCTGGGTTTCCATTCTCAGCCTCAGCTGGGGCAGCAGAGCCTCACTTGGCTAGCGTTCAGTCAGCAGACACCTGTGCGTGGACACACACAGACCCATAAGCTCATGGGGACACTTCCTCAATACTATGCACAAAGTCATTGCCAAACTATACTCATGCCTTCAAAATGACAGAACTGTGGCTGTTAGTGTGACACACCCACACTAACCAATCCGATCCAAGGGTGGGCAGCCCCAGGGCAGGCATGCAAATGGACACCAACACACAACTGTGACCTGGAGAGTGGACCCCACTGTCTCCAGAAACCACTGGTCCATACGGGCACGTGTGTGCCTGACATGCATTTACACACATGCTGCAGTGCCACACATGAGCACAGCTTTATCACAATTACTAGCCTAACCCAGGGTGGGGACCTGGGATGTCCAGGTCACAACCAGACAGACATTGCCAGTGGAATGGGCATTTAATTGTCTCTAAGGTACTCCCAGGAGAGGGAATGCGGGGCCTTTGGCAGAGCTCTGACTAATGGAACCAAAAGAAGTACCCATCAGCCAGTGCCAGACAGGGTGGCAGCCCCAAGGCCTGGCTGGGAAGAACAGCCTTTTAGGCTGTTGCTTAAGACAATTTTTGAGACTAGTGGGTAAAGGAATGTTGCCTTTGAATGGAGGAGAGGGGGCTACAAAGAGGAAGAAGGGGCCTAGGTTAGGGGGAAGGGACTTCAAGATTAGGGTAGACAGGAGTTGGTGACGGGGTCCTTCAAGGCCGGGTGAGGTCTGTGGGGAGAATGTGGTGCTGAGTCCAGCAGGGACCAGGAACTGGCTCAGTTCAAGCCAGCTTCAGGAACTCCTGTAGCGTGTTCTGCTCCACAGCCTCCACGAAGAGCTCATAGTCCTGAGGGGAAGGGGCAGGGGTAGTCACCTCAGTGCTGCTGCAGGAGGTACAGTACTGTTTTGCAGGTATGACCCTGGCTGGAGTCCTCCAACAACACTCCCCTCACCCCCAATCCCCAGGCCCATACCCCACAATACTGGTCCCCGTTGACGATCTGGGGTGGGGTGGCCTTGGGGTTGCCTGCCAAGGCTCGCATCTCATCCCGCAGGGCGTTGTCCTGGGAGATGTCCACTAGCTGGTATTGGATGCGCTTCCCATCCAGAATGCGGGTCACCTCACTCTGCTGGGACTTGATCTGGGGGTCAAGGGTGGGCAGGATTAGTGGGCAGGCTGGAAGGCCTATGGGGAGTGCTCTGGCAGATGTGACCAGGGGCTTTTGTCTCTCTGCCCCCTGCCCACTCTACAGGAGTGTTCTGGCCACTAGGAGTTATGAGGGCAAGTCAGGTTTGAGGAGGCAGGGGATGAGAGGGGGCCCACCACCATGGGAAGAGGGTCAGAAAGAATGGAAGTGGGATAAAGTTCAGGCCGGGAAGGTCAGGAGCTCAGCCAGGGGAATGCAGGGCAGGTCTGGCTGGGGTACCCCCACACCACGCACACAGCGAGAGAGCGAGATAAGGATGCGGAGGTAAGGGGTACAGACAGTGTTTGTCCCAGTGGTGGGGGATGGGCACAGGTAAACCACGCTGGTGCTACTGAGGACCCAAGATACCCAGTGAAGGGGCACAGGACGGGGCTCAAAGACCCTGGATCCAGGAAGCCCCGCCCCATCCCCCGTCGTGGGGGCGGGTCCCAGGCGTCAGGGTCCACAGCACTGGGAAGCGGCCCGTGCTCTTCCCCAGCAGCGGCCGGTCGTGCACTTACTTCGCGGGAGCCGGTGACCGACGTGCTGTAGACGCGCAGGCCGCTCATGCTGCAGGCAGACGGATATGCAGGCAGACGAGAGCCGGTGGTAGCGGCAGCAGCACGGTCAGACTACGCTGCTGCTTTCGGGAGCGGTTTCCTTCCTGCTCCGCCCGCGAGTCACTGCTCTCGCGACCAATGGGTGGCGCAGGCGGGTGGGGCGGGGCCTGCGCGATACAACCCTTCGAGCTGGAGGACCCCGCCCTTCTCCGGGTGACCACTGCAGCTGCGCCCCCCCCACCCCCCTCAGCCGTAGCTTGATCTGGGGCTCACGATGTGAGGCTGGGGAGGGACAGATGGCAGTGAAGGCCTGGGAGAGAGGGGGCGAGGGTTTAGCAAAGGCCTCCCCGGCTCACCCTGGTTCTGGTACATCCACCTACCCACCAGTGCCACCCTTGGTCTCCAGGAGGTGCTCAGCTTGGGACTTTGAGCAGTTTTCAAACTCAAAAGTTCCTGGATAGAAGGCACACCAAAGCAGGGGCAGCCCTGCCAGGGATTTCCCCTACAGCTCCTCTCCACTCTTGCAGGCTTAGACAAGAAAGGGTGGCCACAGAAAGCGAGGACCACACCCTCCAGGAGCCAGATTGAGACCAAGATACTAGGTTGCCGGCTCTGGGAAGTGTGTACACCAAGGTTGGTGCCAGGACTCTAGAGGCTGGGCTCAAGACAGCCCTTGTTCAAGATCCATAGCTGGTCTTGGGGTGGTCTCAACGTACCCATGACTCCATGCTGCAGATGGCACCCCACAGCTGCTGCTACTCCACAAGAGTCCAGGGAGTTCAGAGGGAGCAGACTCCCAACAGCAGCCCGACTTTGGAGACTTAGCTATGGGTCTGGTTGGACACAATGCCCCTCAGGTCCAGGGCTCAGTTAACAGCCCAGGAAGACAGGCCCAGCTCTCTGAGGCAACAGTGCCTGCTCTGCTCTGGGGAAGCCACTTCCTCACAGAAACCCAGAGGCCAGACTTCCCCCCAGAGAGACTTGCTGAAGCTCTTTCCAATGGCAACTTACTCTATGACTTGGGCAGCTCTGCCAACAAAGTGGTGACGGAAGAGATCTTATTTGTCCCCACAGAAGAGCAAAGAAGCAGAAGTGGTAGAGATAAGGACGTGAAGAAGTCCCTCTTTGCTGCTGTCTGGGGAACTTGGCTAAGTCACCCAGCCTTTGGCTCCAACAAGCCCAAAATGAGGGGTGTGGCAGAGGAACAGTATTGATGGAAAGCTATGAAAAACTGATGTGTCTGTTAAATATTTTATTTTGTACTCAAAATAGGCAATACAAACCAGTTGACATAACAAAGATTCATATAAATAACTGTTTATAAACTTTTTGAGGAGAAATACCCGTGAGCATGGTGGCTGGGCTCCCAACACAGGGTGGAGACCAACCGGGCAGCTCTGCTTAAGGAGGCAGGAGCCCAGAGGCTTAGGGGACAGCCAGCTGGGTGGGGCTGCTCTGAATGGAAGGGATAAGTCACTCCATAAATAAAACACAAACTTGAAAAAACACTTAAGAAGGAAGCTCATTCAGGCCTGAGTGAGGGTCAGGATGCTGCCAACAGCCCAAAGCTTTTTTTACCACGGCTGCCCCTCCACTCCTGCACTGCTTTGCTCCCCATACCCAAACATGGCCCCTGCTTGGCCTGGCTCCAGATCTAAAGACCTGGGGCTAATCCAACAACCAGACACTAACAACTTTGAGATGCTCCCTAAACCAGGAGGCAAGAAAAACCAGAAAGCAGAGGGTCCTAAAGCCCCACAGAAACAAACAACCCAGGAAACACTGAAAGTCACATCTTATAGCTGACCCATACTGGATACCCTGAACTCTTCAAGGAAGTCAGAGCAGGAAAGGGAAAAGACCTCCCCCCTCCATACACCCCAAGAAGAGAGAGGCGCAAATCAGATCAGCCCTGCAGGAAGCAGCTTGAAAGTTGCCCTGTGGTCTGGGGTGGGGGGTTTCAGCCTGATCATAGAACCACAGAGAAGAATGTATTCAAAGTCCAAGAAAAGGGATGGCTGGAAGGCCTGAGAACACTGGAGGAGCTATGCTGACCGCATGGACATAGGGCAGCTGTGGAGTAGTCTCCTGTAAAGATGGCACAGCAGGTAGATTAAGGAACCCTGGCTATAATCCCTGGAGTCCTGATCCTAGTGGGAACTCTGCTAATGAACAGATCACCCTGAGGCTTCTGTGAGAATAAGAGCCCTGAGGAAGAAGCAGTGGGACTGGGCCTGAGAAACTCAGAAAGCCAGCTCAGTTCCCAGGAAGGGGTCCATGGGGCCTGAGAATTCTCCAAATGGTCACTGTTGTGCTTGGCCTTTTCAGGCTCCTCTAAGGAGTTCTGGGTACCAGCAGGACCAAAGTATGGAGTGGGAATGAATGTGGATTCATCCCAGAGGATGGAGAAAGGAGGTGAGCTGTTTGACTGCCTTTGATGTCAGCCTAGGGCTGGGAACAATTTGTGAGGACTTATCAGTAGAACCTGCTAGAAAGTTAATTAGTAACTCACCCTCAAAAGGGTGAATTAGGACAACAGGACAAACGCAATTCAACAAGGCAAAGCCAGAGTGGGAAAGGCAGGAATACTTCCCTCACTAGCTTGTGGCCCCCAGATGCAGGCTCTCTTCTCTTCCCTTCTGACTCTTCTCTGGGAGCAGCAGCAACAGACAGGATTGTCAGGGCAGGGACCTCCTGGCCAGGCTCTCAACAGCTCAGATCTCCCCCACCTTCCAGAGAATACAGCCTATCTCACCCCCAGCACGCCTCACTGTGTGGCACAGTTTTCTCCCATGTCCTGGGCATATCTGTCTGACATGGTGGTCCTTAAATCCTCGATGTCATGGCGCAGCTGCTGAACCTCTTCTAGTTTCTTCCTGATCACATCTGGCTTCTGCAAATCTAGCTGAGTCCCTGGGTGCTGTGTGGCTGAGGAGGAGAACATTTCAAGAGTGTTAATAAGTCAGTTGGGAGATACTTTCATGTGGAAGGGGCAGTAATGACAGGCAGTATCTGAGGCCCACGATCTTATGACTTAGCATTTCCGCCCACCAGTACTGAAGACTGAACCTAGGGCTTCAGACATACTAGGCAAGTACAGTCTACTTGCCTACTGAGCTACATCCAAGCCTTCAGACATGGCACTTTTAAAAAAGCAGCTGGGGACAGTGGGCTGATAACTTGCTGCTTAAGGCCAACTTTGTCCTGCTTGCAAGCACCCCATAAGGAACCTGTTCACAAAAGAGACTTATTGAACACTCTATGAAACACATAAATCTCAGGAAGATCAGTAACTAGGCCTATGCATCCTGTTTGTATATTACCATAAGGATAAGGAGAGTCGGATGGGGATAAGAGAATGAAGTTCCCTCTTCTCGTGGGTCCCCGACTGGCCTGAGGACTCACAGTGAATGCCCAGGAGCAGGGAGAGATTAGGGTCGTGGCCTTGGGCCCTCTGGGTCACAATGCTGCAGACGGCCTGCAAATCTTGAAGGCAACTGGCCAACTCCTGGTATAGCTCAACTGCCAGCTGGGCTGTGTCTGGTGAAGATGGGGACCCTGGCTGGGCCTGGCGCAGCTGTTCCTGCAGCGTCAGATTCTTCTCAATCAGATCCTGGTTTTGCACGGAGAGCTGAGCAGATAGATGGGTAAACACATTAACCCAGGTTCAGGAAAAGGCAGAGTGTCTGCATTTATGTGGAGGTATAGATTTATGTATGTGGAGGTAAGGGTACGAGTCATAGGCGATGACCCCTTCCCACTACTAACTAGCTTAGCACCCCTGCCCCCACCTCCTACGGGCAGGCTGGACCCACAGGGATCCAGCACTGGAGAGGAAGTTGTTCCTCAGCAGCCTCTGAGTCATCAGCCTCCAGGTTTCTGTCCAGGAACTAGAGAAGAAGATCCTGCCCTAGGAACTCTATCTGAAGCCAGTCCCTCAGCCAACTCTGTTAGCCAAGCTATTAGAGATGGCCTAACGTGAACAGTGAAATCTGAGGAGACACTGGTTTCAATCTCTCCCTGTCACCCTGACAAAAATGGCTACCAGCCAGCCTGATCACAGGCTATCAGAGGGATAAGAGGGGCAAATAAGATAATATGACAGTAGCCACTGGGTGTGCAGCTGGGGAAGGTAGAGACTGAAAGACAAAGAACTGAAGGTGTCCTGCCTTTTCAAACCCTCAGCTCAGTGGAGACAGGCTTCACTACACAGACCAGCTATTCATGCATACCCTTGGCTCTTTCCCTCCCTGTTTCTGACAGCCTAATCACCCTTTCTCCTCCCTTCCTACCTTTATTGTTTTAAAGATTCTGAAGTTTTTTTCTAGCCCCTCCCCTACACCCCCACTAAATCACGTGACAATCCTAGCTCTGGGAGACTCCTTCCTAGGTACTTGACACTTGGTGGCCCTCTACTGACAGCTCTGTTGACTGCATTAGGAAACCAAACCATCAGTTTTATTAAAACACTCCCTCCCCAAACCCACAGACTTGTGGCTGTGAGAAGACAAAAGGGAGAGAGAATGACTTCCACAACTGAAAGGCATTTCTGGGTAATATGGCCAGGAATAATAATAAAGGTTTAGGGTCTTTAATGTAAAGAATGAAGCAATGTATCTTCCCATTCCTTTGCTCAAACATCTCAGCAGGCACCTCTCCAATGCTGGGGTTCTTATAGGGGCAGGGTTAGGTAATGTACACAGAGAAGTCAGGTTTGTGGAGGCTGTACCAAGGGGCATGGCCAGTGCTACTCACCTCTTTCACAGCTATGCGCAGCTGCTGCAGGGCTGTCTCCCTCCGCTGGGCCTCCTCTCTCAGAGCCTGGCTTGTTCCATCTTCTTGAGCTAGTTCTTGCTCTAGGCTCTGAATTCCACAGCAAGTCAGAAAACACCCAGGAGTAACAAATCGGTTCAGATCATATCATCTCTGGCCTGGACTATTACAGGAAGTCCTACCCTACTCACACACTGCTGCTGAGATTGTTATTACTATCATTTTTCCTGGTAGTGGGGATAGTGGGGCACTCTACCACTGACTACACCTTTGGACACCCCTCTTCTTTTTGGTACCAGGGACTGAACCCAAGAGCGCTCACCACTGAGCCACATCCCTAATCCTTTTTATTTTTTATTTGGAGACAGGATGTCACTAAGATACTTAGAGCCTCAATAAATTGCTGAGGCTGGCCTTGAACTTGCGACCCTCTTGCCTCAACCTCCAAGATGCTGGGATTATAGGCATATGCCACCACACCCAACCCACCCCCTTTTTTGAGAAGAATTTAAATTGCCCAGGCTGGTCTGGAATTTGTAATCCCCCTGCCTCAGCCTCCAGTATCCCTGGGATTACAGGCATGTGCCACCACACCCAATTGATATTTTAGAGTAGATCTCATCTATGACTTCCCATTTAAACCCTTAACTGCCACTGATCACATATGAATCTGAGGCCAGCTTCTCAGGAGGGTGTACCAGGACATTTGACTCCTCTATTTATCTTCCTATCCCTAACTCTTTTTTACCAACTCTACACAGCCTTCACTCCAGCCACACTGAATCACTAGTCTTCATCTAAAGGCTCCAGCTCCAAGGCCTCTGCTCACTCCTCTTCTCCTTTGTTCAGACTGCTCTTCTACTTTGCCTGTCACTCTACAGAGCCTCCAAGGCATATCTGAGCCTTCTTCACTGTGCAAATTAGATCCAACTAAACTTAATCCCACCCTGTTATGTGCATGGCTCACGTGTATATCCATTTAATATTCTGGTTGCTGTATACACAAATCTTCCCTTATTTGAATGTAACTTTTTTTTTTTGTACTGATAACTGAACCCAGAGGAACTACACTACTGAGTCACATCCCCAAGTCCTTTTAATTTTTTGAGACAGGGTCTCACACTAAGTTGCTAAGAACTTTGCTAAATTGCCTCGATTTTGTGATCCTCCCATCACAAGTTGCTGGGATTACAAGTGTGAACCACTATGCCTGGCTGACGGTAACTTTTTTGAATGCAGAGAATGTGCCATTCAGTTGAATTCAATGTTCATTAAGCATTTACTGTGACAAACACTGGGGATACTGAAAAGAATACCAAACCGTCCCTCTCTTTTTCTTTTTTCTTTTGAGGGGGTGGTCAGAGAGCAGGGGCAGTAGTAGGGATTGAACCCAGGGCACTTTACCACCAGGTTGCACCCACCATTTGAAAACTTTTTTTTCTTTTTTTATTGTACATTATATCTGTTCATAATGATGGGAATTATTGCTATATATTCATATATGCACACAATATAACAATATAAGTTGGTCAATATCATTCCCCAGCAAAAAGGATTTTATTTTGAGACAGGGTCTCACTAAATTGTTCAGGCTGGCCTCCAACTTGGGATCCTACTACCTTAGCCTCCTGAGTTGCTAGGATTATAGGCTGGTGCTACCACACCCGCCAAAGAATCCCTATAAGCTAACAGTTGGATATCCCGAATCAGTATGAAATGCTTTTGACAGACAGAAAGAGGCAAGAGAGCACACTCACAGGTATCTAATCTGGTGAGTATTCTGTGTGTGCATGTGTTGGGGGGTGATTAAGGTCATAGGGAGGAGATACTTTTTATCTTCTTGTCTCATCCTATTCATTTCAGTTCTCCCTGCTTCATTTTGCACCTGATTTGAGCAGATATTTTTTAAAATTGTAGATTGACATAATACCTTTACCTTATTTATTTTTATGTGGTGCTGAGGATCGAACCCAGTGCCTCACGCATGCTAGGCAAGTGTCCACCACTGAGCCACAATCCCAGCCCCTTGAACAGATATTTGAAGTGAAAAAAGCTACATCCTCAGTCCTTTTTATTTTGTGACAAAGCCTTGCTAAATTGCCCAGTCTGGCTCTGAACTTGTGATCCTCCTGTCTCAGACTCCTGAGTCACTAGGATTATATGTGTATACCACTATGTCCAGCAATTTCACCATTTTATAGTAATAAAAACATAACTACCAAGGCTCATGACCATGAAATATCCAAGATAACCATGATAAACCCACCTTATTCTAATAAATTCACCTGACATTTTAATCTGCCTGCATTTTCTCATGTTAGGTAAATGTATCATCTAAAATGCTGGCTTAGGGCTGGGGATGTAGCTCAGAGGAAAAGCATATGTTTAACATGTGAGGCCCTGGGTTCAATTCCCAGCATGATAAAATAAAATAAAAATTAAAAATTAAATATTTGGCTTCTTCAACTTTTTGAAATTTCAGGGTTCTAGGAAACCTACTTGGAGAGCCTTAAAAACCCTAGTAGGGGGCGCTGGGGCTGTAGCTCAGTGGCAGAGTGCTTGCCTAGCACGCATGAGGCACTGGATTCAATTCTCACACCACATTAAAAAAATAAATAAAATAAAGGCAGGCTGTCCGCCTATAACTACAAGAAATTAAAAACAACAAAACAAAAAAACCCTAGTAGGGGGCTAGGAGTCATGGCTCAGTGGTAAAGCGCTTGCCTAGCACATGTGAGGCACAGGGTTTGAGTCTCAGCACCGCATAAAGATCCACTGACAACTAAAAAAATATATATATATATTTTTAAAAAACCCTAATAGGGGGGTATAGCTCAATGGTAGAGAACTTGCATGTGTGAGTCCCTGGGTTACATCACCAGTACTAACACACACACACGACAAAAAACTAAATACCCTACTAAAAATCTGGCCTTTAAAATGGGTATATAGGGCTGGGATGTAGCTCAGTGGCAAAGTGTCTGCTTTGCATTTGCAAAGCCCTGGGTTCGACCCCCAGTTCCAAAAAAGACAAAAAAAAAAAAAAAAAAAAGAACCCCACCAAAAAAAGAAATAAGATTAAAATAAATAAATAAATAAATAAAAAATAAAATAAAATGGGTATATATGTTTACTAGGCTTCACTACCTCCTTAAGGACTTGAAAGTGGTAAGCTAATTAGACATAACCCAACCCAAACAAAAACAAAGGCAAAGACAAAGGGAGGACAGCAGCCATCAGTTGTTCCTCAGAGACAGTGCATTTCATGTGTTTGGTATAAAAACCTCTTTTAATGCTCAGCGTGGTGGTACACCCCTGTCATCCCAGGGGTTTAGGAGGCTGAGGCAGGAGGATCATGAGTTTAAAGACAACCTCAGCAATTCAGTGAGGCCCTAAGCAACTCAGTGAGACCTTGACTCTAAATAAAATACAAAAAAGAGCTGGGATGTAGCTCAGTAGTTAAACGCCCCTGGATTTACTCCCCAGTAACAAAAAATCGAAACAAAAAACCTCTCTTTAGGCATCCAAAGAGGACCTGAGTGAACTTGCTTTGCTCAGGATCTCTTAGAAAACCTAATTAGGGACACTCCCGCTCTGGTCCAAAATAGAAACCAGGAGCTGTCTTTGGTTCTTCCCTAATTCTTCAACCCCCCACACTCTGTCAGTCACTGAATCCTTCTAAAAGTCAATTAAGTCTGTCCCCTCATATCTCCTCCTTGTTATGCTGCCTTATGCCACATTTACCCATCACCTTTCTAGAATTTCTGCAGTAGTTCCCTGGCTGTGCCTCCTTCTATGCTGCCAATCTTCCATACTTTGAGTTGCAGCCTAACTACATCATACCCCTAAAATGGAGCAATGGATTTCTATCACCTACCTAAATAATAAAAGCTAACATAGACAAGGCCTTCCCATAGCCTGGAACTTTCAAATCTTCTCTTACCATCTTAAAGTGAACAGTCATGTGCTGTGTAATGGACTATACACACCTGTAGTCTGTGTAAGTATACTCTATGATGTTTGCATAATGATTAAGTCAAAATGAATCCCCCCAGCCTGTTATTAAGCAGTCCATGACTACTTTAACAATATCAAACTGCTAACAGGTCCATGTTCAAGCCATGCCTGTTTCATGCCTCCATGTTCCCACTCATGCTGTTCCTCTTGGAATTCTAGTACCATCCTACCCAGCTTCTCTTCTCTACCTGGTTAACTCCTACTCATCCTTCAAAGCTCATGATCTCCAGAAATCTTTCTGTTACATCACCGCCTCCCACTGACTCTTCTGTACTTGCTCCCCAAATACTGGGCTGAAACTCCTGTCTCATCTGTCTGTTCTTCCAACAAGACTGTATGCTCAAAAGCAGTGACTAGGTTTCATTCTTTTGTATCATCAACACTAAGCAAATCACATGGCAGAGAACAGAGTGCCCCAAGGACCCCTGTTTACCTGTATTTGTGAGCACAACTGATCGATCTTCTGCTGTTGCTTCTCTACAATCTGAAAGGCAAAGTCACCAAGGAAGGCTGATGGTGAGATCAGAGGGCAAGGGACTGCACTAGGATCCGTGGTCTGGCTATCAGCCCCACTACCTATCATCCATTAATTTTGACCAGGGTGATGATTAGTTAGTTTTCCCCACAGAAACCCAACTCAGACTCCTGTGATTCCTATGCTCTGATTATACAGAGGTTTAGGTAGCAACATTATACAGTACTAGGGAAGCAGGGGACCCTCACCCTAATGACTACACTGGAATCAACTTCATACACTGTGGTTTTTTTGGAAAAGAACATAGCTAAAAATTCACTTTAATGAAGTCTGTCCTAAACAGGGCTGTGACAGTTGTTACTTTTAGTTTTGGTTACACTGACTATTCAAGGAGACTCTTCGCAATCTAAGCTTCCTGTCCTTTTAAGACTTTGGGTGTTCTCTGGACTATTTCTGGGTCTTCTTTTTTGCTGACCTGAAACCAGTCTCACCAGCAGGCCCCTGACTCCCTCTTCTCTTTTGAATTGAGAAGCCAAGTCACCCCACTAGTTAGAACTCTGTCCAATGCAAAGCAGTTCTGCATGGACCTGAGCCATGACTAAAGTGCCCCAAGCTTCAATGCACCATTCTGGTTCATCTAGTCTGGATGATGAGAGGCATGGCCCCCCTAACTTCTGCCTGTATGTCTGATGAGTAAAGTTCGCCTGTCGTAAGGATGAATGTCTAAAATGCAAACTTATTATGCAGGATAATTACTAAGAAGAGAGAAAAGCTTATAGTAGCAGATTCTAGGTGGCCCCAAAACCAGGAATTCAAGGTTACTTCCAAGTATACAATCTTCTCTTCCACCCAGCCTATCCCTCATTACAGCCTGAACACCCTTAGTCACCTTTTGGAGGGAATCACATTCTTTCTTCCTGGACTCCATTTCCACCTTGGAACCTTCTCCACTGGCTTCCTCCACAGACTGTTTATCTTGCAGGCTGAAATACAATGGCCTCTTCAACAATTCTGAAGTTAGAATCTAGATTGACTTCTGGTTCTGCTATTTATTGGGTGTATGGGCAAGATATTTACTCCAGTGCCTCCATGCCACAGTTAGGAATGGAAACTTAGGTCTGCTGTAATGTGGAGTGTCCCACATTGAAGCTACTCAATGTTGGTTCTCTTCCCTAGAGGCCAGAATCTATGTATTGTGCCATCAATTCTTTACTTGCTAAAGGCTCTTATATTCTTTGTTTTGATATTTGAAAAACAAACATGTATCACATATATTTACTCTAAAAAATTTGGAAAATATAAAATAACTTCTTTTTCTTTTTGGCAGTACTGGGGATTTCACCCAGGGCCTTGTTATGTGCTGGGTAAGCACTCTGCTATTGAACTAAGCTGGGTTGAGTTTTGTTTTATATTATATTGTACTGTATTTTATTTTATGACAGGAGCTTAAGTTACCCAGGCTGGCCTCAAACCTGTAACCCTCCTACTTCAAGCCTCCTGAGTAGCTGGGAATATAAGTATGTGTTACCACTCCCAGGACAAAAGAACTTTTTTCTTAGCACTTATATTCTGGGGAAGAGCCAACTTTGTCCTCTAACCTTGCTTATAACTCTGACCAATAGCCTTCTCAATAGATCCCTCACAATCACCTCAAGCATGGCTTGTCTGCTAAGATAAACAACAGGATCACTGTGGTTGAATATGGGATGGGAAATTCAATCCATCCATTAAAATTGGATTTAATCCAAGAGGCTGTTGAGACACAGCCATCACATTTTCAGAAATTGCTATTAATATGGAAGAGGCTTCCAAGACATGCTGGGAGCACATTATGGCTTCTTGTTTTGTTCTCCGAACCTGTCCTGGCAACTGAGAGCAATTCCCTAAGGGCTGAAGAGAAACAAAAGGTGCTTCTGGTAGCCTTGGCTTAAAAGTTTCCATATGTGGATAACCCCCCAGGATCTACTTTTGAAAATATACAGATATCTAGTTGCCTAGTTTCTTTCTAAAGTGTTTTTATTCATCCAGTTTATACCTACTCAAGATTATATGCCAGGCATTGGGTTCATTCTTCCCAAAGGTTACAATAAGCCCCCAATGCACTCCTTGCATCCACTACTCCATCCCAAAGACACATTCCCTTCCCATTAGCAGCTTTATTATTCACAATCTGAACAACATGAAGCTCAAAGGAATAAAGAGATTTGCACAGGCACTTATAGGTAGGTGAGTGGGGTAGCTAGCACCAGAACCTAGCTCTCTCCTCCATCCCTTGATTCCTTAGGGGTATTTACCTATGTCTAGTAGAGAATTCTGCTTCTTTCTGTCTCAGGCTTTCCAGTTGATCCTCCTTCTCTCTGCAGGCTGCCTGGGTCTCCTCCAGCAAACTCTCCAGCTCAGCTACTCTCTCTTGCAGCTCTGTGCTCTTCAACTCACAATCCTTAAGCTAAGAGACATGCTTGGGTCAATAAGCCAAAGAAGATATATATAAACTTAGATATGACTTCTTTGGGATTTTCCTCTTAGGAAGCTACAAGGGTAAGTACAGACAGTAGATAAGGAGAAAGTTACCTGCCTGGCCACCCCTATTTGCCCTGGGTGTGCCCAGACATTGCTGATACCTGCTGGCTCTGCTTCTGATGGTCTTCCAGTGTAGGCAGGTCAGCAAGGTAGCGCTCCAAGGTCTCAATACGCTGCTGCTTTTCTCTGTTCTGCTCTGATTCCTTCTGACATTTCTTTTTCAAATTATTGATATGTTTATCACGACCTTTGACCTACAGGGAAAAAATGTCAAGTCGATCTCTATTCACTCTTTTTAAAAATATTTTCTTAGTTGTCAATGGACTTTATTTATTTATATGCGGTGCTGAGAATCGAACCCAGTGCCTTACACATGCTAGGCAAGTGTTCTACCACTGAGCCACAACCCCAGCCCCTCTAATTATTATTATTTTTAATATTTTGCTTTTTAGTTGTAGTTGGACACAGTATCTTTATTTTATTTTTATGTGGTGCTGAGGATCCAACCCAGGGCCTCACACATGCTAGGCAAGTGCTCTACCACTGAGCCACAACTCCAGCCCTCCAGCCCCTCTATTCACTATTTTTTAAAAATATTTTTTTAGTTGTAGATGGACACATTATCTTTATTTATTTATTTTTATGTGGTGCTGAAGATTGAACCTAATACCTCACACGTGTGAGGCAGGCGCTATACCACTGAGCTACAGCCCTAGCCTCTCCATTCATTTTATTCTTATTTACTTTTTTAAGAAATGAGCATTCTTTTTTTAAAAATATTTCTTAGGTGTAGATGGACTCAACACAATGCCTTTATTTTTATGTGGTGCTGAGGATCAAACCCGGGTCCCGCCGGTGCTAGGCAAGCACTCTACCGATGAGCCACAATCCCAGCCCCGCCTCCATTCACTTTATTTAAAAATTTTTTTTTTAGTTGTAGTTGGCACAATATCTTCATTTTATTTATTTATTTTTATGTGGTATTGAGGATTGAACCCAGTACCTTACACGTTCGAGCAACAACCCCAGGCTCTCCATTCACTTTTATAGGACCCTGACCATTAACTTCTTCAAAGATACCTCTGTCTTTGCTGTTAGGGTCTATGCATATTGTTCTACTGCAACAAAGAGAGAAAGCTGCCAGGTGTGGTGGTGAACACCTGTAATTCCAGTGTTTTGGGAGGCTGAGGCAGGAGGATCGTGAATTCAAAGCTAGCCTCAGCAAAAAGTGAGGCACTAAGCAACCCAGCGAGACCCTGTTTCTAAATAAAATATAAAAAAGGGGTTGGGGATGTGGCTCAGTGGTTAAGAGCCCCTGGGTTTAATCACTAGTTCCAAAAAAGGAAGCTAATCAAACTTTGCAATTTTGGATTGGGGTATAAACTTTAGAGTTAACAAACCTAAAATTTGGAAATTAAGGACAGGGATGAGGCAGCTTTTAAATACTGGCAGTAACACTTCTGATGTATGATAAAGATTTTGGTAGGTTCTTAGAGGTAACCTCTAAGCCTCTGGAATATTTTGGAATAGGATGAGAGTTGTCTTTGTTAGAGGGCCAGAGCCCACCATGAATGAATTTATACTAATAAGATGACTCAGAATGGGGTTGGTCGCCAAAAAGATTGCATTTGAGTTTAACCTCCTGAAGGGAGAGGTAGTAGAGGGGTTGGGACCTACATAAAAAAACTCCAGTTAAAAACTTTAGACATTAAGCTTGGTGGGGCTTCCTGGTTGAAAGTAAGGATGTGCTGCTGGCAGAGTTAGGCATCCTGTTCTCTAGGATAGCACTGATTTCAAGACCCTCCCATAATTCACCTAATGTCATTCTTCATCTGGTCATTATTGAATTGTAATTTTTATAATAATCAGGCTAGGCACTGTGGTATGAGACCTGTTAGTCCCAACTACTTGGGAGGCTGAGGCAGGAGGATCACTTGAGCCTAGGAATTCAAGATCAACCCAGGCAATGTATTGAGACCCCATCTCAAAAACAAAAATAAGGGCTGGGGCTGTAGCTCAGTGGTAGAGTGTTTGCCTAGCACATGTGAGGCACTGGGTTCCATCTTCAGCACCATATAAAAATATAAATTTTTAAAAAACCAAGCCAACAAACAAAAAATACCCAACCTATATAGTACTTCCTAGAGTTCTAAAGTCTTTTTGTTGTTGTTTTTGTACCAGGAGCTGAATCTGGGGCACTTAACCACTGAGCAACATCCCCAGCCCTTTTAATTTTGTGACAGGGTCTTGCTAAGTTGCTTAGGGCCTCGCTAAATTGCTGAAGGTGGCTTTGAACTTGCAATCCTTCTGCCTCAGCCTCATAAACCGCTGGGATTACAGGCATGTGCCACCATGTCTGGCCTTCTGGGAGTCATTCTAGAGAGTTACTGAACCTGAAGGAATCACAGGAACATTTGCATTTGTAGCTAGTTGGTCATAATTATTGATAGCCTTGGGATCCCAGAATTGCAGCTGGCATCTGAAATAAGTACATCTTGTTGGAGACAGTACCCTTAAGCCTGTGGAGTGTGATGTTAACTTCAGATAGTCTATTTCAGAATTGAATTTCAGTAGTATATACAATTTCCCTGTTGATATACAACTAGTCTGGTGAGAAAGTTAATATACTCTTCCCTAAACACCACACAATATAAAACTAAACAGTCATCTGGAAGGGCTATTGAGACTAAAAACTCTGCTTTTTTTTGTGGGGGGGGGGGTGTAATCAGGGATTGAACTCAGGGGCATTTAACCACTGAGTCACATCCCCAACACTATTTTGTATTTTTTATTTAGAGTAGAGTCTCACTGAGTTGCTTAGCACCTCCTTTTTGCTGAGGCTGGCTTTGAACTTGTGATCCTCCTGCCTCAGTCTCCCTAGCTGCTGGGATTACAGGTGTGTGCCACCCTGCCCAGCTCTCAAGTCATTCTTAAGCACAATGAAGTTTGAGAAGTCAGGTATGGTGGCATGTGCCTATAGTACCAGCTACTCAGGAGGTATAGTACCAGCTACTCAGGAGGCAGAAGGATAACTTGAGTCCAGAAATTTGAGACTAGTCTAGACAATATAGTAAGATACTGTCTCAATTAAAAAAAAAAAAAAAAAAGTTTGAGAAGCACTGCTCTAGTTGATTGATTCAAGTGGTCCAGGACTAAACACTACCAGTCATTCTCCCCAATAACATGTGCTACAGAGCAAGGTGTGAACTGAAAGTACCAACAGAACCATAAAAGTACCAACAAAACTAAAAGATTTTAAATCACCTTCTCTAATGATAACCAATCTGATCTCCTAAGGCAATTCTAAGAGCACAGGCAGAAATAAACTCCCAAACCAGTGGCTCAGGTGAAATCTTTCTCTACTTTTTAGGTAGGGTAAGGAGAAACCAGTCTGAATGAAACCAATTTACCACAGGTATTTAAATGTCTTGCAACAGTGCCACCTAGTTGGGCGGCCACCTGGTTTTCCACCCAGGCCAGCTGGCAGCACATCACAACATGAGTATTATACGACTTTTCCTGATTGTGGTACTTTTGTGGAGGAGATGAAGCAAAAAGGAGGGGTTCCATTTCCAGTAGACAGATCCTATGTAAGAAGCCAATGAAAGGTCTCACCTAACTGGTTTTTCCTGGTTCCAGGAATGGAGGCCAAAAACAGCCTAAGCTGTTGGCAGAGAGGGCTGACTGCCAACTCCTCTGTGAATCAGAGAGTCATCAACTCCTTGGCTTACCTTTTGTTTTTTTTTTTTTTTTTTAACAGTATTGGTGATGGAAGCCAGGGCCTTACACATGCTAGATAAGCACTCTACCACTGAGCCATACCCAGCCTTACTTTTTATTTTTATTACATTTTGAGATGATGTCATACTAAGTTGTGCAGGCTGGCCTTGAACTTGAAATCCTCCTGCCTCAGCCTTCTGAATAGTCTCAGCTTACCCTTTCTTCCTGTTTCTTTCCTTCCTCTGAATGCTTCTGCAGTGTCACTTTGAGAGACTCCCTGATGAGCTGGACTTCAACTTCTGAAGCAGAGAGTTTCTTTTCAAGCTCAATTTTTTCTTTGCTCAAAGCTTCCGTCTTCTGTGCAAACTGTGCACGTAAGAAAGTATTCTCTCTCTGCAATTCCTGCAAAAAAGATTAATATGCAAGTGTTTCCTACCCTTACAGTCACATGTATAATTTTACTTATTCCCAGCATACTTTATGGTCAAGGATCACCTTTCTCCAAGAATTTCTTCAAGCAATGCTTCTCAAAGTGTGGTCCTAGGACAAATAGCATCAGCATCATCTATTACTGGAATTTGCTAGAAATGCAAATTTTGGAGTCCTTCTTGCAGGTTCACTGAATCAGAAACTCTGGATAATAATCTATGTTGTAGTAGTAAGCCTTCCATGAGATTCTGGTGCATATTCACATGCACCAAGGAACAAAGGACAAGACATCCTAACATTTATGCTCAGGGCCTGGCTTTTCCCTCCACTCATTCTCTATGTGATCTTAGGCAAGTACTTCCTCCTCCTTGGACTTCACTTTTTTCATCAGCAAATTACAGGACTACACTAGATTTTTATCTACAGACCCTTGCCACTCTAACTTTCTATGTCTTTAAATATTCTTGTAGATGGATACAATCCCTTTCTTTCTCTCTTTCTTTCTATACCAGGGATTGAACCCAGGGGCACTTAAGCACTGAGCCATCTCCCCAGCCCTTTTTTTATATCTTATTTAAAGACAGGTGTCACATATTTACTTAGAGCCTCACTAAATTGTTGAGGCTGGCTCTGAACTTGTGATCTTCCTGCCTCAGTCTCCCGAGCCACTGGGATTACAGGCATATACCACTGCGCCCGGCTTATTTATTTACTTTTATGTGGTGCTGAAGATCGAACCCAGTGCCTAAGTAAGTAAATACTAGGCAGGTACTCTACCACTGCTACAACCCCAGCCCCTAACATTCTATTTCTGTGCGCTGGAATATTGCCTTAGCAGGCCTACTAGGTGGTAAAGCCAGTACTATAATCTACCTAATACCCATCACTCAAAAGCATATGTTGCAGAAGCTTGGTCAACAAAGCAGGCTTCTTTTCAAGCTCTCAATCCCTATAGACATTGATGTCAGTGAGAGTATGGTTTTCTTCAGATGCTCCTAAACATGGAATAAAATTGAGAATAACTCTAAATCCCTCATTGCCTCTTCTCCTTCCATTTGGTCTTGACTTCTAAGAACACTGCCCAACTCTAGGACCTTATCATCTACTTGATTCTGCCTTCCTTTTGCCCCCCAAGTGTGTCCTGACATGACACCAAGGCATTTGGATTTTCACTTGGTTCTCCTTTAAAATCTTTTCCACACAAGCGCACATTAAAGGGTACTTTATAATTACTCTTTGAGGACAGGGACACCTGTGTCCCTTGATCCCTTTTATACCTTCTGTATAGCTCAAGGGAAAACACTTGAGTTATGACAAACAGAATACTGTCCCAGCTGCCAATGCTTACCTGTAGCCTTAGCAAGCAGACATCCCCAAAGGGGGCAGGACGGCCCAAAAGGGCACTGTGGACTTGTAGTTCACTCTCTCGTACTTTTTGCTCCAACTGAGATATGTGTTTCCTCTGCCTGCAAAAGCCAGCAGAATCAGATCTAGGATCCTGATGATAACCCACTCACATGAGTTCCTATTTTCCTTGGACAGATGGGTGGCAATCCTTACTATGTAAACAAACACCCTCATTCTGGACATCATATTTTGCCAAAGGAGGAAAAACAAATGAAAAAGATGGCTGAGAAAAATTAGGAAAGATCAGCTGTAATTAATTAGTTAACCTCTGCAGGTACTCCCTAAAACGCCATCAGAACACACAGCAGGCCTATCATATTAGTCAGACACAAGACCAGGCTGCTTACCAATCTAGCACTGCCATGAGGCAAGGCACAGGCCTAAGCAAAGGGAGGGTACCACTCTTGGGAAGATCTTATTAGGTGCCCTAGCGGGGGTCCCAGGCAGACACAACCTGATCATGCTGTACCCCTTTCCACCTTACTTGTCAATAAGGAGTTCCTTTTCCTTCAGAAGGTGTTCATTACTGTTCAAGATACTGATCCACTGTGCTGGCTCTAAGGTGGGTAGTAAAGGAGCAAAAGCAGCAGGATGGTGGCAGATGGCTCCATTCTGAAGCTGAAAGACAAAAAGGTCAGAGGGGCTTGATCTTGACTCTATGGACCTGAAACCCCTTTACAGTACCCACTGGGTCTGCAATCAAGGCCCACTTTAGCTCAGCCTCATAAGGTCAATGTTTATGAAATAATTTTAGCTCTGATGCATGACTAGAAAGAACCTGCCAAGGACATTTCTGCCAACAAAACACTCCCTACTCAGAAAGGCTCTAGTTTTTCTTTTTAAATTCCTTTAAAAAAGAAAAACTGGCATAATATTATAATTATATGTAATAGTGGAAGGTTCTAGTTTCTAAGGTCATTTATCTTTTATTATTTGGCAATGGAGGCAAATCAGGAGCTAAGATGTCCTTACCAATCAGAGAAGGAAAATACATCCTGTTCCCTTTCTTCCGATTCTAGCAGCACAAGGACTTAAAATACAAAAGTGGTATAGTAGAAAGAACATAGAGGTTCAAAGACAATTTATATACCCTAGCTCTGCTACTTGCCAGCTTTGTGACCCTGGACAGATAATTTAAATCTGGTAAGTTTTTACATTTATATCATCAAGTTGCTATAAGAATTAAATAAAATTCTATATATGAAAGTTAACTAATCTAGTGACTGGTGTATAGAAAGTATGCAACCAAAGTTAGTGTCCTACCTTTTTGAGTTTTCCTTATAACCCTCTACTTTGGAGAATCTATTTGATGTTTAGACCACCAGCAAATTCAATGGTTAAGAGTTCATGAACCTTCATTTCCTGTCTACAAACATCTTCCTTCTTTCTTAACACATGTTTTCTTTAGAGTTAAAACTCAGAGGACAAAGGCTGTACAGTTCTAAGAATAACATTGGAACCTGCAAAAATCCAAGGAAGGAAGGGTCTCTACCTGCATTTGCTCCATTTGTAAACGGATCAATTCCAGCTGCTGCCGACAAGTACTGAGTTCACAAGATTGCTCTCGGGGATGCCAAGGGTCAGGGCTTGGTTGCCATACCTGAGAGGACAGAGGCTTGGAGAGCCCAGGAGCAGGCTGGATCCCCAAAGGGAGCACCCCACTATTGCTAGGGTGTGGGCCATTCCGCTCAAAGACAGCCCCACTGCCTGGTGCCTTCTTGGCCTCAGGCAATACTTTGTATAACTCCTTGTTTGTGTCAGTTCTTGGGTTGTGGAAGTGGACTCGGTAGTGGGGATCTGAATAAAGTGTCTCCATCACAGCTGACTGATTGAGGGTAGATTCCATGTTAGGAATATCAAACTTCCTCATCTCTTCTTCTCTTTCATGACCCACTGCTGGAAACCAGGACTGCTCAATCCCATTTTCTCCAGTAGCACCACAGAGATACATGAGATCTCTAGATAGGCCTGGAGAACGTTTTACTATACCAAAGTCTCCATTTCTTGTCATCCCCACACTTTCAGCCAACCCTGACAAAGGAAGCTTGGAGGAAGAGGGTCCAGCAGGTGTCGAATTGGGTTTGGCAGGAGAGGTCCCCAAAGTAGAAGGCATCACATGGGCTGTTGGAATGGTTATATGGCTTTTGATAGGCTGGAAAGAAGGGCTTCCACTTGAGCTGCAAAAATCTGTGGAGAGAACAGTCATCTGTAAGTTAAAACTGAAGCAGCAAGGTTTCTTGAGTTTAGCTGCTAGGCCTAACATTTTCTGCCTATCCTCAGACATGGCGGAGAGGGTAACATCATTAGACCTATCAGGCAGAAAGATAAAAGCAACCTAACAGAAGCTGTGTGACCTAAGATCTCAGATGCTGTTCACAAGATAAACCAATAAAAGGCTTTACTTTTAACTTATACTCTGTCCTTTGTACTCAAATAAGCAAAGCTGAAAACTGAACTCCAAAAAAATCACTTACTTTAAGGGCAATGCATTAGGTCCTACTCTTCTGGAAGTTCGGCAAGTCTAAATTATAATCCAATTTAATAAAAATATTCTTTCCAAAGGGTGCCAGAATCTTCTGACCTCCAAAAGCTCCCCAGTCAAAATGAACAATAAATCTAAACTATCCAAAAATAAGCAAACTGGACAGTCCTGCGAAGTTATTCAGGGCAGGGAGCACAACCTCCGAGTCAAGATTTTGTTCTCTCTCTCCCACACCCCAGACCTGGCTGCCTGGTTATGGGAAGATATTCTTAGTAACTCTCAGGTTTCACTCCAACACAGTGAGCACTGTCAAGTAGGTACACGCTGAAAATCTCTATTTTATATTTTGCTTTTCATTTGCCCCTTTGTTTGTTCCCAACTGTGATTTTTCTTTCAACTAGATGCTTCCACAGACTCCTGTTTGATCTTGAGAGACAACACTGATTAAACTTGCTGCAGAAGGTTCATATTTCTAGCTAGTTCCAATTTTCAAGTACTACTTTGAGAATTACAAGGTCATAGTACTGATATGACAGGGCAGTGGGATGTAAGCAAGTTAAGATGGAAATGTAAAGTGACATAGCTATTATTACTTTCAGTAATCAGAAAACAGAATAAGGAGAAAAGCAATACTAATTTCTTCGCTTTTCAACTCCCAGTTCTTTTCCAAACCAAGCACATCTACCATAGGACGAGGTATTATCAATTTATCTTTTTTCTCTCTACCAAAACAGAGCCCACTCATTTAATAACAACTATTAGAATCTTTCCTGGAATTATATGATTACAGACCTACTAACTTCTTACTAGTAGCTGTTTAAAACATGGGGAAGCCAAATTATCTAATGTAGGCAAAGTATCTGATTTCCTATTATTTAGATGATCTTGGGACAGGAAAACAACAACCATCACCACAAAACACAAAACAAAAATGTGAATAATTTTTGATAAAATACATGAGCCTCTCTGTATCAAAAAAGAAGGAATTTCTCAGTTAAAGAACATGGTTTTTAATGTCCCACAACATAAGACTAGTTGACAAGGTTAATGCAGACTGGTGATTTCAAGACTAGTAGGCAATCTACTTCAAATCCTCCACAGCAGCACTACACTATCAACTCTTACCCAGGGTCCCTGTTTCTGTAGTGTGATTATGGAAAAGAAGACAGTAAGGTAGTAGCATATGAGGGACTGCCACTGTGCTGAATTTAATAACACTTCCATGCTCCATCCACAGCACCACTCTCTCCTAAGACTCAGCAAACTCAGTTTTGAGCCCATAACGCCCAAAATAATAATGCCAAAAAACAAAACCAAGAAGAAAAGAACCAGTGTTCTAGAATATAGTTTTCTAATTTTCCAGTAGACATAGTTCATCTATAGATGAAGGAATGAAGTGAAGTTTTGTCATTATTTTCACTTATCTATTTGGTTTATCTATCTATATTAATTAACAATTTATATTATATTAACCTAATTCTGATAAACTGTGCTATAAAATGTAAAGTTATACCTTCTTCTGGTTTGTGTTTCAGAACACTATAAACCAGATCAGCAACATTTTCAAAAGGGGGTTCTATCTTCTACAATTTCCAAAAGCATGCAAGATTTAGTGCAAGGGAATATGGTGGCTTTTATTTAGAGAAGTCTACAGTTCCCAAAATCACCATATTTTTGTTACTTTAAGGATATGATTCTAAAACCCTCCTCGCCTCAACCATACCCTCTGTCCCTTCAAAAATAATTCATTCTGGGCTGAGTATGTAACCGTGGTAAGTACACTTGCCTAGCATGCCCAAGGCCCTGAGTTTAAGTCCCAGTGCTGCAAAAACACAACATAACAAAATAAAACCAACACATTCTTTCTAGTAACCCTCCCTTCAATGGTAAGGGTAGATTCTGTTATTGCTAAACCTCAATCACAACTGTGTGGGGAGCCCCTCTGAATGACCATGCCTTCCAGTCCTGAAACAGGAGGCTCTGACCAATCACTACATTTCGTAGTGACTCCGGCGTTGTCCCAGGTCTTCAGGTGTAGGTGTCACAAACAGGGGTTGAGCTATACTCACCTATTCCTTTGTAATCCTACCCCTTTGCCCTGTTTAGGATAGAATGTTCCATGGAAGCTCCTTTTGTGTATCCCCTTCTCTTGCTCTGCCTTTGGGCATAGCCTTCCTAGCTGTCAGTCAACTTGCTGATAGCAGACAACAGGAAGCTAGATTCAACCCCCTGAAACCTGACTCCTTACCTCATTTGAATGACTTCTCCCCAATAAAAGGGTCAGGCCCTGCTCTCTCTCTCTCTTTCCATGGACCTCTAAGGTCAGAGGACCCAAAGAAAAAAGGTATCTCTGTCTCTTGTGTGATTATTTTGTGCGGCCCAGTTCAACTGGAGTGACCCTGAGTGTTTTAGTCATGAGAAATGCAACACAACTGTTTATTTCCACAGTAGTTTGTGAAGTATGGCAGTTTGAACTATGCCAGCAACTATAGGTTGAGTATCTGTTTTCTAAAATGCTTGAAATCAGAAGTGTTGCAGCTTTTGGAGTTTTTTGAATTCTAGAATATCTGCATAGATTTTATTGGCTGAACATCAGTAATCCAAAACTCTAAAATACAAAATGCCTGATCAAAAAATCTGAAATTCAACATGCTCCAAAATTTGTCATGCACAAACAGTTATGTATTTTGGAGCATGTTAGATTTTTGAAAAAAAAAAAAAAAATTTTTTTTTTTTTTTAGTTGTAGTTTGACACAATACCTTTATTTTATTTATTTATTTTATGTGGTGCTGAAAATTGAACTTAGTGCCTCTCATGTGCCAGGCAAGCACTCTACCACTGAGCCATAACCCCAGCCCCTAGATTTCGAATTTTTGGATTAGGAATTCTCAATCTGTATTTCCACCTTTAAGAAAGAGCTGAAAGTACTATGAGCTTTGTTTTATCTACTTCTACCCTGTCCCTCAAGAATTTTGAAGGTAAAACACCTTAATGAAGAATGGAATATAAAGCAAGCCTATTCAATTTAAAGATATAACAATGAACTACTATTTTATACCAGTATTAAAATGTCTTGTCAACTAGACTCCAAGTTAGATTCATGAACAAAATAAGCAAGAGTTACGATTAAGATAAGCTGGACTGGGGTTGTCGATCAGTGGCAGAGTGCTTGCCTAGCATGTGTGAGGCACTTGAGTTCAGTAACAGAATAAATATATAGATAAATAAACAAAAGATATTATATCCATCTACAACTAAAAAAATTTAAAAAGTAAAAAGATGAAGATAACAATCTTATGTATAATGATAAAGGGCTGAGATATAGCTCAGAGGTATCTTAGCATGAGCAAGGGACTGAGTTCAATTTCTATACCCACAAACCCCAAAATACGGTATATTAAAAAAAAAGACAGAAAAGACACCCTGGTTCTTTCGGGCCCCCCTGCCCCTGCACCAGGGATTGAACCTAGGGGTGTTCAACTACTGAGCTATACCCCCAGCTCTTTTTACTTTTAAGACAGGTTCCACAATTGCCCAGACTAGCCTTGAACTTACGATTCTCCTGCCTTAGTCTCTCCAGTAGCTGGGATTACACGACCCTTTTTTTTTTTAAAAAAATTTTATTTATTTATTTATTAGTTTTCCGTGGACACAACATCTTTGTTTTTGTATGTGGTGCTGAGGATCGAACCCAGGCCGCACGCATGCCAGGCGAGCACGCTACCGCTTGAGCCACATTCCCAGCCCGATTACAGAACCCTTGATTTCTTTAGAAGAAAAATGCTGGCCACAGGGGCACAAGCTTGTAATCCCAGCGGTTGTAGAGGCTGACACAGGAGGATCATGAATTCAAAGCCAGCCTCAGCAATGGTAAGTGCTAAGCAACTCAGTGAGACCCTGTCTCTAAATAAAATACAAAATAGGGCTGGGGAGGTGGTTCAGTGGTTGAATGCCCCTGAGTTCAATCCCTGATACCCACCCCCCAAAAAAACCTTTAAAAAAAAAAAATCTAAGGGCCAGAGGTGTAAATCAGTGGTACAATGCTCTCCTAGCATGGATAAGACTCTAGGTTCAATCACCAGAACCACAAACAAAAAACCCAAACCCAAACAAAACAAAACAATCTTCTAGACTGATGACTTTGGCTACTGTAATTTTAAAAGAATTCACTAATAGCCAGGCGTGGTAGCATGTTTCTACAAACTATTCTGGAGGCTGAGAAAGAACAACTGATTGAACCCAGGAGTTCAAGGCCAATATTGGCAACACAGCAAGATCACATCTCTTAAACAACTACAGAGACACACATAATCAGTTTAACAATTTGACTGAATTAAATACAACCAATTTTTCTTTTTATTTCTTTTTCTTGGAGGGGATACTGGGGATTGAATTCAGGGGCACTCAACCACTGAGCCACATACCTATTTTATATTTTATTTAAAGACAAGGTCTCTTACTTATTAGCGCCTCGCTTTTGCTGAAGCTGGCTTTGAACTTTTTTTTTTACATTTTTTGTAGTTGTAGATGGACAGAATGCCTTTATTTTATTTATTTATTTTTATGTGGTACAGAGGATCAAACCCAGTGCCTCACATTTGCTAGGAAAACACTCTGCCACTGAGCTACAGCCCTAGCCCCTGGCTTTTTTTTTTTTTTTTTTTTTAATATTTATTTTTCAGTTTTCGGTGGACACAACATCTTCGTTTGCATGTGGTGCCGAGGATCGAACCCGGGCCGCCGGGCGAGCGTGCTACCGCTTGAGCCACATCCCCAACCCCTAGCCCCTGGCTTTGAACTCTTGGTCCTCCTGAGCGGCTGGGATTACAGGCCTGCACCACCATACCGGCAATACAACCAATTTAATGGGGGAAAATTTCAGACCAATGTTTGATATTTAATAATACCTACCATTAAGTTAAAATGAAAAGGCCCCATGACTACACATGTAGACAAAACATTAATAAGTAAAATTAAATGGATAATAAACTCTTAATCATACAAGTGATGTCAAAAATATTACAATCAGGGCTGGGGACACAACTCAGTGGTAAAAAGTTTGCCTAGCATTCAAGATGACGTGTTTAATGCCTACTACAGTAAAAAAATATATAGAATACTGTGTATACCACAGAGAATTCACCATCGTGTACCCACAAGAATGGGGTCCTAATTAGAACAAGATACATTCTATGCTTGTATGATAATATAAAAGTAGATTCTGCTGTCATAAATAACTAAAAAGAACCAATAAAATAGAAGGGGGTAGGGGAACAGAACAAGAAAATAGTCAGGAGACCAGAATCTGATACTTAGCTGTGGGATCTTTGTAAGTTGTTTAACCCCTAGGGAATTTTTGTTATCCACCAGCAACAAGGAGTTAGATTAAGTGATTTTTACAATACTGTCTATTTAGAAATCTATGATTCAATTCTACTTAATATCTATCTATTTATACCGGAGACTGAACCTAGAGGCACTCTGTAACTGAGCTGCATCTGCAACCATTTTAAAAATTTTATTTGAGACAGGGTCTTGCTAAATTTCTGGGATTGGCCTTGAACTTGTGATGCTCTTGCTTTTGCCTAAAAAGTAGATGGGATTACAGACATGTGCTACCATACTTGGCTTCAATTCTACTTAATATTTACTGAGCATAGTCCCCATAAACACTGTTATCAAACTGTTAAAATTAGTGCTAGGTGTCTAAGAGCCAGTATTAGTAAATGTATTTTCCCCTCCCTTTTCATTCGTTTTATTTTTTCCAAATATTTGTTCTTTTAAAAAATTTGTTTATGGTGCTGGGAATTGAACCCAGGTCCTTCTCCATGCCAGGAAAGAAGCTCTACCACTGAGCTACATCCCAGTCCTATTCATTTTTTTAAACAATTTTGAAATATAATTCACAAACCACACAAATCACCCACTTTTAGTATGTAATTTCAATGGTTTTTAGTATACTTATGAAACCTCTTACCCTATAGCAGTCAACACTCCTCTATTTTCCCCAACTTTCCCAGTCTTAGTAAACCACTAATCTGTTTTTTGTTTTGTTTTTTTAGTTGTAGATGGACACAATAACTTTATTTATTTCATTTTTATGTGGTGCTTTAGGATCAAATCCAGGACCTCACACCTACTAGGCAAATGCTTTACCAATGAGCTACAACCACAGCCCACTAATCTGCTTTTTGCCTATAGATTCATCTATTCTGGATATTTCAATTATATGGCCATGTTATATATGGCCTTTTGCATCTGGCTTTTTTTTTTTTTAACTTAGCATAATTTTTTTAAGGTTCATCCACTGGCAGCATGTATAAATACTTAATTTAATTTCAGTCCCAAGTAATATTCTATTGTATTATACGGACATACCTCATTTTACTCATCTATTCACCAGTTATGAACACTTGGTTTGTTTCTACTATGAACATTTGTACATTTTTGTGTGGATGCATGTTTTCATTTCTCTTGGGGACATACTGAGGAGTTTACTGAATCTTAAGGTTTAACTTTTTGAGGAACTGCCAACCTGTTTTTCCAAAGCAACCGTAACATTTTACATTCCTACCAACAATGTATAAAGGTTCTCTACATTCTCACCAACAATCCTTATTATCTTTTTTTTTTTTTTTTAAGAGAGAGAGAGAGAATTTTTTTTAAAAAATATTTATTCTTCAGTTTTTGGTGGACACAACATCTTTATGTTTATTTTATGTGGTGCTGAGGATTGAACCCAGCGCCCTCGCACGTGCCAGGCAAGCGCGCCACAGCTTGAGCCACATCCCCAGCCCTATCTTTTTGATTACAGTCATCCTAGTAGCTGTGGAGTAGATATATTTTTACATGACAAAATATAAAGTACCAAAGTGACCAGTTCTGTAATTGCAATCAATTCATCTGATAAAGTACCAAAGTGACCAGTTCTGTAATTGCAATCAATTCATTCAAGCACTTTGAAATTTACCTTTTTCATCTATAAAATAGAATGCTTCACAGAATAGCATTAATGAAATAATTCAGAAAAAAAAATCAGCCTAGTACCTATCTCAAAGTATATAACAGTAATTAATTATTATCATTAGACTTCTGCCTTCCAGGCCCTCAATATCTAAATGGAAAAACAAAACGCCCTTGTAAAGCATTGGCTGGTAGTTAGTACTTAAGTGTAAAACGAGTGACAAGAGATTATAAAGATAAAGGGTGCAAAAAGGAAGGATATCAGTAGTGGGTAGAAGGAATGAGAAGTCTTTGTGGGATGCTTTTCTAAATCCTAAATAGTCATAAGATCAGCACGGCTGGAAAGGACCAAAGGAGATGGCAATAGCACAAATGGGCTAGATTAAAGATGGAAAAAAGAGCCCAGTTACCAAACCAAACAACAAAACCATTAAAAAAAAAAAAAAAAAAAAAAAGTCTATTTTCAAAGCATTATAAAATAACATCTTGATGATACCAAGAAATAGGCTTGAATGGTTGAATGGGTGGGTAGAACCAGATCACAGAAGAATTGAGGCCTGAGAACTTATCCTCCAAGTAATGGAACAATCAAAGGATTTGCAGGAAAGGGAAACTATGAAATATGAAATTAGTTTAATAAGATCAATCCAGAAGCAGAAGGACAGACTTGAGGTCAAGAAGACTATTAGAAAGTTGTGTCAGATAGGATAACAATGGAAACTAAGATAAAATGAACTCATGAATATTTTGGAAATGACAATATACCTAAAACTCAATCTGAAAATGACAAGATATACTGGTAATCAAAAACCATTAATCCAACCTACCATCTGCAATATCTGAGCATGACGTGCCAATGGCTGTATCCCCACTGTCGGCTACACTTGAACAGCGGCTGAAGCGGCTCCGAAAGGCCTCTGAGATAACTGGAGTCTGCCATTCGGTTCCCAGGGAACTACCCTTATGAATTACATTGGAACCTGAAACAAAAAAAGACAAATTTCCTCCTTTTAGTGTGAACCAGCTGAGGTACCTCCACATGATTGTTTTTATTAAAAAAAAAATCACTTAAGCGGGGCTGGAGATGTGACTCAGTGGTACAGTGCTTACCTAGCATGCCCAAGACCCAGCACCCTAGCACCATAAAGTCTCAAAGTTTAAGTTGAAATCAGAAAATATTCTTCTACAGACTCTTTGATCTAGTAGGAGGCAAGTGATCCTTAAAAATACCTTATTCCTTTCTTCCAAGTTTAGCATTTTGCTATGTTTTTAACCTAATTTATTCTACTTCTGCTCGCTCTTTGCTACCTTTCACTTCTGCTTTCTAGTGACAGCAAACTAACTTTCCCCAAGTATTCCTATTCTTTGAGTCATACTGGATTGCCTGATTTGAAAGAACATGCCCAATCTATCTATACTCAGTAATTTGTAATACTTTTTTTTTCAGTACTAGGGATTGAACTCAGAAGCATTCTATCACTGAGCTACATACAACCCCAGCCCCCACCTTTTTAATTTTTTTAGACAGAGTCTCACTAAGTTGCTTAGGGTGGTCTCAAATTTGTGATCCCCTTGCCTTAGCCTTCCAAGTTGCTGGGAATTCACCACAATAATTTTTATGAACAACACAGACAACAACCAGAACTTCTGAGCAGCCTGAGATTAGAAAATGTTACTATAGTACTAAGTTAGTATAATGTAGCTAGAAGCAACATAATCTGACCTCTTGGTAAGTCTATATGACTTTGTCTCTCTAGTTACAGTGCACAGTTTGCCAGGCCTTTTGAAATAATTAAACAAAACATGGGGGCTGGGGATGTGGCTCAAGCGGTAGTGCGCTTGCCTGGCGTGCGTGCGGCCCGGGTTCGATCCTCAGCACCATATACAAACAAAGATGTTGTGTCCGCCGAAAACTAAAAAATAAATATTAAAATTCTCTCTCTCTCTCTCTCTCAAAAAAAAACCAAAAAAAAAAAAACCATGTGCTTTAAATAAAACATATGTAACTGAATACAATGTGTCCTTTTTTGTTTTTATTTTTTAAATATTTATTTTTTAGTTGTAGTTGGACACAATACTTTTATTTATTTTTATGTGGTTCTGAGGATCAAACCCAGGGCCTCGAATGTGCGAGGTAAAGCTCTCCACCGCTGAGCCGCAACACCGGCCCTAAAATGTGTCCTTTTTTTGATAAAATACTTAGAAATTAAAATTTTTCTAAAATGCTACTTAATTGAACCATACCTCATCTAGTGACTGTCTACACATTTATATGTTTGACATATATACTTAAAATACCTACTTAATATCTACTTAACTTTTAAAATCTTGGCAATTCATTTTAGAGATACTACTGGCATCCAAGAATTCCAACCTTTGTGGGCTAGCAATGACTGACCCACTAAGAGTATTACAAAGACAACACAGAACACAGTAATTAATGCTGTGTTTTCTAATTTCAAATGGAACTATGTTCCAAAGTCATTCTGTTCTAATTCTTTATATGTCCTCCCCTCCCAAAAATCACATTTGTCTTGTTGGAAGCCATATAGGACCACAGATAAATGATTAACTGTTCCCTCAAAGAGACCTGTTTTTTTTTCTATTTATTAGTATATTATAGTTATACATTATAATGAGACTTATTTTGCCGTATTTATAAATGCACATAACTGTTTACTCCTTTACAATTCCAAGTAGAGACCTGTTTTTATATTCAATATAGCCCCATGTTACTCTATTCTTTTTGTACCAGCATTTCATCAAATGCTGTGTGCTCAGTCCCTTAAAGAATATGAAATAACAGAACAAAAGTCAGAATCGAATCCAGGAAATTTAGGCTACTTACCTGGTGAAGTAGCATGAGAGGTTCGCTCACTTGGGTATTTCTCTTGCATGGCCATCACAGTTATTGGAGACAACTGCAGAATGAAGAAATAACCAGTCAAATCTCTCATTATTTTTTAATTCCCTGTAACTCAGTTCCCATTCAGCAGAAACTGTCAAAATCAATCTGAGGATTAAAAAGCAAACATAGTTTCTTTCTACTATACTTAATCTCATAAGGTACTTTTGACACTAGATGAATCAAGCAAGAAATTTTGCAGGAGACAACCACAATTAGAGGGTATCCTCTAATTCAATTCACAATTTGATTCTGATATTATCTACCTGGAGATAGCATCAAATCCCACAAGTAGGGGACTCAGTTCTACAAGACTGTCCCTCTTCTGCCACCCATTGAGATCCCCAGATTGTTTCACTGGTGTCAAATCCCACAAGTTGAGGACCCAGTGCTACAAGGCTGTCCCACTTCTGACACCCACTGAGATCCCCAAATTATTTTACTCATGCATCTGACCAATTAGCAATAAACTGAAGTTCCCATGACCCCCTTTCTTCAGTTTGACTAGTTTGCTAAAGTTAATTGCTAAATCACAATTCAGGGAAACCCTTTACTGACTTATTATAAAGGATATTACAAAGGACAGATAGAGATGCATAGGGCAAAGCATGTGGGAAGAGATGCAGTTTCCATGCCCTCTTCGTGTGCCACCCTCTAACAATCCCCACAAAGCCTCCCAGACGCTTTCCCAAACCTACCCTTGTGGAATTTTATAGGGGCTTCATTACTTTGGCAAGACTCATTAAATCACTGAGCAACTTAATCTTCAAACACTCCTCTTCTTCAGAGGTTGGGGCTCAAAGTCCTCACCCTCTGACCCTGCCTTGTTCTTTCTAGTGATCAGTCCCCATCCTGAAGGGCTGCCAGTTAATATCCAACTCATTAACATATAAAAAGACACATCATTTTGATGACTGCAAGGATTTTACAAGTATGCAAGGAAATTAGACAAAGAACAAACATATATTTTATAATATCACAAACATATAAAATATTAAAGTATTCTCCCACATTTTACTCCTATGAGTATTTTAAAAAGCAAACCAGGATCCAGCTGTATCACTCCTCAGTATTTATCCTAAAGAATTAAAGTCATTATACTATAATGATACATGAATACCCATGTTTATAGCAGCAGAATTCACAATAGCCAAACTATGGAATTAGCCTTGATGTTCATCAATGGATAAATAAAGAAAATGAGGTATATACACACAATGGAGTTTTATTCAATTATAAAGAAAAGTGAAATTATGTAATTTGCAGGAAAATGCATAGAACTTGATAACATTATCTTAAGCAGAATAAGCCAAACTCAGAAGGTCAAAGGTCATGTTTTCTCTCCTATGTGGAAGCTAGAGAGGAAAAAGGAAAAGAAAAGTGGTGGTGGTGGTTGTGGAGGAATCTCATGAAAATCAAAGGGAGATCAGTAGAATAGACAAAAGGGACCAGGAATTGGAAGAGGGGAAGGAAGGGAAAGTGCTGTGGATTAATACTGGCCAAATTACATTGTTATATCATGTACACATATGAAGATGTAAGAACAAATCCCACCATTATATACTACTATGATGCACCAATAAAATAATATGGGGGGTGGGAATCATAAGCAGAGTCAGGGGAGCAAACCAGTCAGACATGATCCCAACTATTTGAGAGGCTGAGACGGGAGGATCACTTGACCCCAAAGTTTGAGATGAGCCTGGGCAACAGAGCAAGTCCCTGTCTCAAAAAAATAAGACAAAAAAGAAAAGAAACCAACTCCCAATAATCTGCCCTATTTATCTTCCTAAAGCAAGTAGAGAAAACATAGAAACAGATTCCCAGTATGAATCCCGTGTGGTCCTAGAGCCCGCCCATTGTTGTAATTTTTAGTAAATATTACTTTTAATCAACAAACTTAACTGTGGCTTTTCTTAGCCATGGGGTACATAATGGCAGTGTAGGGTAAAAAAAGAACTAAAGAACCCAACCAAGAGTGAAGTATTATAGCCACAATTATAATTAACATAAAACAAACTCCTGATTCCTTCAGTAATCAAAGTTGATGCACAGAAATAGGCAGAATTCTTGGTCATAAGAATAATTCTGATCCTTAGTTCAGAACATGGCATTTTCTTCCCATTTCTCCATCTCTTAAAACATTTCTACTTAAGGGTAGGTGCTGAAAATTCAGCAGAGTCTAATTCCTGTATAAACAAAACTGTTTAGTTATAACTAGCAAAAACAAATAATAGTATCTTATATTTCCATACTTGAGGGAAGTGGTTCAGAGCATGGGCTCAGATCACTTGGATTTGAAATGTGGATAAATATACTTGAACACACTGAACTTCCAGTTTTGGTTTTGTTAGCTGTACAACACTGGGCAAAAATTTCAATACATCTGTGCCTCAGTTTCTTTATATGAGTGATAAAAGCTGGGTGTAGTGGCACATGCCTCTAATCCCAGCAACTCAGGAGGCTAAGGCAGGAGGATCATGAGTTCAAAGCCAGCCTCAGCAAAAGTGAGGTACTAAGCAACTCAGTGAGACCCTGTCTCTAAATAAAATACAAAATAGGGTTGGGGATGTGGCTCAGTGGTCAAATGCCCAAGTTCAATGCTGAGTTCAATTCCAGGCACCCCCCCCACCAAAAAAGTGATAAAGACACAACCTAATTCATATTAAGTGATTTATAATAACTTACCACAAGGCCTGACACATCACAAGTGCCTATTTATTATTATTATTACTTGGCAATTTGTGTCAATAAAAAATAAATAAAACAAAAAGTGTCACACAGTACAGTCCCTGAAAGACATGGAAATATGAATTTGTAAACTCTGAATTTATAAGAGCCCCAAAAGAAGTTGGGACAATTCACACACAATTCTTAAGAGATAAAATTCAACTTTGAGAGGGGGAAAAAAAAAGGGGGAGGTGGGGGGATAAATGGTACTAATTTTCTAATGTTTTACTGACCTTTACGGCTTTCTTTTAGTAACAACAACCCAAGTAGTCACTAATTCACTGCATTAATAGGACTGGTACCATCCTCCAAAATCTCACTTCTTCCTAGGAAAGAGAAGCTTTCTTTACTTAGTAATAAAAGCTTCTACTTATGGCTAGCCATTTAATTTATGGCCAGTGACTTAATGATGACACAGCCTCCTTACCTACATACTAGTGATTACTGTCAACATCAAACATCCTTTCCTTTACCTCTCCTTTGAAAGATAACAAAATCACAGGCCTGATAGATTCTGAGACTTTTCCAAATTAAGATGAATTGAGAATAGGGTAACAAAAGGAAAACTCCTAGTTAAAAAAGAATCACTCTATGACTCAGCAATTCTACTCTTGGGTGTATAGTGGTCCTTCTGAATCCAAAGGAGACTGATTCTAGGAATTCCAACAGATACTAAAATCTTCAGATGTTCAAATCCCTTATATAGAATAGTGTTGGCATATAACATGTACGTACATCCTCCTGTTCATTTTAAACAATTTTCTAGAAGCCAGGTGTGTGATGTGAACCTGTTCCAGCTACTCAGGAGGCCGAGGAGGGAAGAACACTTGAGCTTAGGAATTTGAGGACAGCCTGGGTAAAATAGCAAGACCCCATCTCAAAAACAAACATCACCATCAACTCTATACTACTTATAATACCTAATACAATATAAATGCTATATAAATTGCTTAGAGAATAATGACAACAACAAAAATAATGTAGTACTTGTTCAGTACAAATGCAATTATTTTCAAGTATATATTTTTTTCTTTTGAACCCAGTGGCACTTTATCACTGAACTACATCCCCAATCCTTCTTACTCTGAGACAGGGTCCTGATAAATTAAATTGCTGAGGCTGGCCTTGAACTTGCCATCCTCCTGCAGCCTCCCAAGTCACTGAAATTACAGGAATACACCACCATTCTCAACAATCCCTAATTGCATTCTCTGTTTTTGTTTTTTTTTGGTAGTGCAGGGGATTGAACCCAGGGCCTTGTGCATGCAAGACAAGCACTCTACCAACTGAGCTATATCCCCAGTCCCACTGAGTACATTCTCAATCCATAGTTGGTTGAATCTGCAGATGCAAAACTCACAAATACAGTGGGTGTATTCAAGAAAAATTAAAATAGATGTTCATGCAAAAAGTTGTAAACAAATATTCATAACAGCATTACTTACAATAGCTAAAAATGCAAGCAGCCCAAATGTCCACCAACAAAGGATCAATAAAATGTGTTATATCCACACAATGGAATATTATTTGGTCATAAAAAGGAATTAAGTATTAATACATGCTAAAACATGGATGAACACTGAAAATATTATTAAGGAAAAGAAGCCAAATATAGAAGGCCAAAAAACTGCATGGTCCCATTTATATGATATGTCTAAAACAGCCAGATCCACAGAAAGAGCAGATTAGTGGATGCCAAGCGCTGAGGAAGGGAATAGGAAATAGAAAGTGACTGCTAGTGGTTATAAGCTTCTTTTCAGGATAATCAAAATATTTTGGCATCAGATGGTAGTAATGATTGAACAGGCTTAGATACATTATAAAAATCACTGATTTATGCATGAGTAAAATTAATTTTATAGCATGTGACTTATATTTTTTTAAAAAGTGCACCTATAAGGCAAAAAATAATACAGAATAAGTAACTCTTGATTTTTTTCCTACTAAATTCAGAATTAGATGATCAACTAGTAGACATTTTTAGGACCAACTGAAGGAGTGGTCCTAAAACCGCAAGACCGATATTTTCTGGGATAAAAATGGGATAAATGAATGTGCAAGGAATAATACAAATAACCATGTTACAGCCCAAAAGGTAGGACTGAATGGAGGGGAACAGTAAAAAAAGCACCCAACATGGTTGGCTTCTATATTCAAAGCCCTTTGGATCACAAAAATATTTATTCAACAAACTTAACATGTATTTAGCACTTACTATTTATCAAGCACTGTGCTAAATACTTTATATATATATTTAATGCTCACATTAATCCTATGAGGCAGTTATTCTCAATTTATTTGATTAGAAAATAACAGTTTAGACTGATGAGGATCATACAACTAGGAAGAGGCTTTAAAAAGCCAGAACTGTAAGCTTGGTGTGGTGATACACATCTATAACCCTAGCTACACAGGAGGCTGAGTCAGGAGGATGGCAAGTTTGAGACCAGCCTGGGCAAAGTAATAAGACTCTATCAAAAAAAAAAAAAAAAAAAAAAGCCAGAACTGTGCTACAAAACTTTAGGAGTTTAATCAGCATTTTTTTTTTCTGTGTGTGACAAAACACAAATGAAAGAACTGAAGGGCATTATTAAGGCATCAAAAGTCATCTGCCTCTGACAGCCAGAGCTGCAAGCCTTGAAATAGGACAGTCAGGGACAGTCATATAATTTCTTCACTTCGCCCTTGTTCATCACCCAGGTTGTACTTCCCATGTTGCTACCTAAGAATTAGATTATGACTGTTAAATATATTTCTCCCCTTGAAGAATAAGAATCTTCGTGTGAAATGTCAAGCTCAGCAGCTGTTGAGAACCACATCAAGACAGAAGAGGATTTGAAGGGATATACAGACAGCTGACACAGACACATTAAGAATCTCACACCATCACACTATATTCATGGCCTTGATCACTCATTAAACTGACATAGTGAAAGAGAAGTCAAATCCCTGCCATGAAGTTGCCTTTACAAAGAACAAGTCCTGAGACAAAACCACCAGCCCATTATAAAGCAGACAAGGCCTAAGAGAAAATAATCAAGTCCAGTTATCTTAATTACCCTGTATTACAACTCCTTCTTACCCAGCATATTGTATTCAATTCATTAACCAAATTGTACTGATCACCTACTATTTGCCTGGCATCGTGCCACGCACTGGAAGTGTATCTCAGAGTAAAGACAAACGGTTCTGATTCTCCGGATTTGCAAAGGCGAAATTAGGTGCTGAATATGCTGTCAAACAAACTTGAACTAAACTTGCTGTAGCAGGGGTCCTCAACTTCAGCACTACTGACACCTTGCTTGATGTCCTGAACACTGCAGGATGTTTAGTAGCGTCTCAGGATGCCAGAAGCAATTCCAGAGTCGGGACAGTTTCCAGAATCGCCCGGGCTCAGGGGCTCGGGTCTAAGGCCTTCCCGAGTGCTCTCGGTCCCCCAACTTTAATTCTCTACACATTCTTCAAAACTTGAACTTCCCTTCCCCGGGGAGAGCTCCCTGATCGCTCTAACTAGACGAGCGCCTCTGTAGTGTGCTCTTTGTAAAAGATCTTCCCCCTGCATTTACTGAGTGCCAACTGAATACTACTCGCTTAACGTCTGCTCTTCTCCACGGACCGTGGGCTCCACGAGGGCAAGGAAAGTGCTGCCCGCTGTTCCCCCGGCCACTGGAACAAGGCCTGACTCACAGGTAAGGCAAATGCTTCGAGTGAAAGGCAAGGAGAAAGCACGGCAACGACGGCTGGGTGGCCACCCGCACAGGAGCGGGTGAGCCAGGGGCATGATCTTAGCCAGGGGAGGCAGAGACCCGAGGCGGGTTACCGCTCCGTTGCTCTGCGCATGCGCTCCCGCTGCCGATTCCCCACGAAGGGAGGTCGCGAGTGTTCAAGGCTTCGCCGGGACTCCGGAAGGAGAGGCAGGGTGTACCACCTCGACTGGGGCCCCGACGGAGAACTTACGCGGCCCTGAGAGCGGGCGGCGAAATCCCTCACTTGCGGATACTGACTGCGACCACCACGTCTGCCTCAGGCGGCGGTTCAGCCCCTCAGCTCGACTAACGACCGTTACACGCGCGCCGCCGGGCCCCCCTCGTCCGTCTCCCTGACTCTGACCAATTAGCAGTCGAGAAGCGCGGTTCTCCCGCCTCTTTCTGCCCTACACTGACCAATCGAGAGCTAAGCCGCGCCGGCGTCCCGCCCCTGCACGCTGCCTCGCAGCAGGGCGCGACGGATCTCTCTACGCATGAGCCCGCCTCCGCTCCGGTCCTTCTCTTCTGCCTCTTCCCCAGTCTTGCCTCTAGGCGGAGCGGTGCTCAATGAAGCCCGGAGTGGCCTGCTGGGCCTGCGCAGATGGGACACACGGGAATCCCACCTAACCTGCTTCATCCTCCTCCCTCTATCCACCTGCAGTCCTCCCTCCTAAAGCAAGTGACCAGGCTGTGACCAGGAGTTAGGGTGTGGCCTGGGTCACTGTCTAGTTAGGGTTGAGGCTCAGTCTATTAGATTTAATGGAGAATGAACCTATGTTACCGACAAGTCCTTGCTTCCCCGAAAGCTGAAGTATAACACCAGAGAAGCCTGCCAGGCAAGTTTAGAGTGGAAAGTAGAAGCTTTATTACAGGACAGCAGAAAAGACTTCTCCCCGGAGGAAGAAGGGGACCCAAAAGGCAGAATCCGTGGAAGGGCGAGGTCTTCCCTCTTTTATAGCTAAGGTCTTCTTTCAGCTTTCCCACACTCCTGTCCTTTGTTTCCCGTTATCTTGCCGTGAGAGAATGCAGGTGGGAAGGTCCAAAAGGTGGGAGATAGGTGAGCTGGAGGAGTAATCTGGGCAGTAAGGGCTTGGGGCAGCTTTTGATCAGCATTTCCCAGTTTGCTGGCAGCTGCTTCATTAACATTTCCTTTGGATGGGCTCCAGGCCTTGGGGACATTAACATTTCAATTTCCCCAAATGCTACTCTGTTTTCGGGACTCCATTCTCTATAGTGGCCTCCATTTTATTTATCTTACTCAATATTAGACCCGATTTACCTAACTACACTGACTACTATCTGTAAATCTAGCTTCACCTGGGTGTGCCATGATAGATGAATTTAGGGGACAGTCTCTGAAATTGGGACCAAAAGACTTTGTTACTATGCATATTAAGGCTGGATGTCCAAAGGAGTCAACTTAGACTGCTGTGACGATCTCTGTTTTTTCTGTGAGGCAGGAGAGAACCGGGGGACGCATAAAGGACTGAGAAAAATGAAGATGATTTGAAGAGGTGATGCTGAAAAGGGAGAAAAACCTAACTAGAAACTCGGAAGTGTTGAGATTTACATTTGCACTCAGCAAATAGAACATTTGTACTGTCTTACTAATTTAATTTTTTTCTGATATTTAAGCACAGAGTAATCAATATTTTGTCCTTATCCTTTAGGATATATTTTAAATAAAAGAAAAGTCTAATGCATTCATAAGAAAGGTTGGGGGTTTGGGGGTCATTTGCTTTTGGTACTGGGGATTGAACCCAGGGGTGCTTAACCACTGAGCCATCCATATCCCTAGCCCTTTTTTTAATTTTTGAGTCAAGGTCTTGCTAAATTGCTGAGGCTGGCTTTGAACTTGCAATCCCCTTGCCTCAACCTCTTGAGTACTGAGATTATAGGCATGAGTCCAGTCACTCGCTTTTTTTTTTTAAGACGGGGTCTCATGATATTGTCCAGGCTGGCTTCAAATTTCTGTGCACAAGATCCTCCTGACCAGATGCAGTGGCGCATGCCCGTGATTCCCAGTGACTCCATGAGGTTGAGGCAGGAGGATGAGGCAGGAGGACTACAAGTGTGAGGCCAGCCTCAGCAACTTTGCAAGACTCTGTCTCAAAATTTAAAATTAAAAGGGTTGGGGATGTAGCTCAGTGGTAGAGCATCCCTGGGTTCAATCCCCTGAATTGAAGGGGGGAAACAAAGATTATCCTGCTTCAGTTTCCTGAGTAGCTGATTAAGGCATTAGCAGCAGGGCTGTTTAAACAGTCTACTCCAGACCTTTAAAGTCAATATGAATTCCCAATGAAATGTAATTAATTTTATGCTGATTTAATAAATGTATGGCTTTGATGTGCATAAAAAAATAACATAAATTGGTCATTTGCCATAATTTTTTTTCATGAACTGTTAAAGTACTAGATAAAATGTTCTCGAATATGAAATAATAAAGCTGTTATTTAAATTTGAAGATTGGGGTTGTAGTTCAGGGTAAAACACTTGCCCAGTATGTGTAAGGCCCTGGGTTCTACTCCTAGCACTGCAAAAAAGAAAAGACTGTTAAGTTTAACTTTTTATTATGTTGCTTATACCAACATTTTCCTCAGGAAATTAATTTCTAACACAATCATGGATATCAATAAAAAATAGCATTTCAAAAACAACAAAAGGCAAAATGCCTTTCTGCAATTTTGTGAAATTGCACCTCATGTGTAGGTGCTACTTCTGCCAACTAAATAAAGCCTGTCCTCTTTCCTGGCCCACACTATCTATTTTCTGTATTCAACTGTCCTCTCTGGAAGGTTAAAGACTGTGTCTTGTGTAGTGTTGAATCCCCAGGGCTTAAAATAGCAACAGGTATGTAATAGATCTATTTTTGAATAAATTAATGATAGTAGTATAAACACTGTCACCTGTATCTACCCTATATGGAAGGGAGAAAAATAATTAAGGTGTAGAAGAAGAAGGCTTAGATAATATTATATAAAAACATTCAGTGCTTATTCTGGAATTGAATAGTCACTGTCCGTTTTTTTTTAAATATTCTTTGTCAATGGGCCTTTATTTCATTTATTTATATGTGGTGCTGAGAATGGAACCCAGTGCCTCACACATGCTAGGCAAGCACTCTACCATTGAGTCAAACCCAGCCCCTCACTGTCCATTTTTCAGGAGAAAAAAAAAAGTGCGGGGAGGACTTAGGGGGCCAAAGTCCTAGATATTTCTCTGGAATTATATGAAGTTCCCAGGTTGAAGCAGAGATCAGTCAAACTTTCATTTTACAAGGCCAGGTGTGGTGGCACAGCAATGGCGAGGCGCTAAGCAACTCAGTGAGACCCTATCTCTAAATAAAATACAAAATAGGGCTGGGAATGTGGCTCAGTGGTTGAGTGCCCCTGAGTTCAATCCCTGGTACCGCCCCCCCCCAAAAAAAACTTTCATTTTATATTTGTGGAAACTAATACTCTCAAGATTAAGTAACTTTTCACCCATCCTCCACCCCTTGTCCTTCAGTCCCATCAACCTGCAGCATTGAAGGTTTTGATCAGATTATACAGAAAGGAGTCAAAGTAGAATTCCTTGGTGTTTATTGGCTATATCTTCTACACCTCCCCCACCATTAGAGCAATTTAATCACCCCTAAGAATCCCAGAAATGGGAGGAGAAGGCAGGATGAGGGAGCACAAACTAATGCTGAGTTTACAAGGTATTTGTTGTGCCACATCCTAATCCCATTTTCAACCTCTCTGGTTCCTAACAAGAGGACAGACTTATTGCCTTTCCCTAAATCTTCCTCTTTGAGGCAAGTAAATTAGAAGCCAATGACTAGGGTTTGAGGAGGTATCATGGGGAGGATTTTATCCCAGCATCCAATCAATTACCATCAGGAGAAAGATAGCCATCCAGGATCCTGCAGGGAAAAAAAAAAAAGGTATAAAATAGGATCAGGGAACTTTGGAAGGCTGGAAGAGTTTTAAAGCTTAGATACTTCACTCTGGCGGATTAGTAATTTATTGATTTTTTTTTTTTTTTTTTGAGATGGGGTCTCACTATGTTGCCCATACTGGCCCTAAACTTCTGGGCTCAGGTGATCCACCTGCCTCAGCCTCATGAGTAGTAGGGATTATAAGCAGGTGCCACTGTTCCCAAGCCAATTTTGAATGTTTAACCCCTACTCTACTCTAAATCATTTCTGAACAGTCCCAGATTCTGATAAGGGATAAAGCAATAGCCCCACATTGACAATTCTGCATGTATTGCTGAAGAAACTGACACTCAGAGAAGTTAACTGACTTCTCCTGGGTCACATAGAGTTGAGAACAAACATGATCCAAGATCAGCACCTGCCAAGTCCTAAAGTGAGCTCCCAGACCTTGGTGCAGTCATAACAAACTTCATCATAGCAATCATTTTGTACCAACCTGGAGAGCTCCTGCTGCTGGAGGCTTCGGACTCTGAAACCACATAGAAACAAAGATTAAGCCTTAGGATGCTGGCATCCTAACAGGACAAGACCAGCACTCGCCCATCATTTCATCAGGATTGGGCAAAGAGACTGGCACTTTCTTGAGGCTAGGACTCAAAAGATGATACTTCTAATGAGAATGAATTTAATAAAGAGAGAGGCTTTCCCGTGAGGGTTCGAGCTTTACAGGATTGTTATGGAATAGAAAGAAGTGAGAGTGTTCCAGGCTAGAAAGTAAGATTGAAAACACACACACACACAGGAGAAACAGCCCAGGAGAAGACTGATAGGAAAGGAGACAATGGGAGGAAGCAGAGAAGGCTCCGACTTGAAGTTCAATAAATGAGGAGAGGACCTTTTTGGAATGGAGATCCCAGGAGGATGTGGACTCGCAGAGGATGGACTCGGGGAGGAGACTTGGTTTGAGGAAGAGCGTGTGGACAAGAAGGTAAGAGGGGGCTCAGTGAAGGGTCGGAGGACTCAGCAGGTGAGTTGGAGGCTCTGGGAGAGGAGCCAGGAGGCCCGCAAATGATTGATCCAGATACCCGTTATTCGGAGAGGCCCGAACACTATCCAGCTGCCGCCGCGCTCCAAGTCCTCTTGCGATTGGATCTCCCTGGGCGAATTCCTCGCAGAAGGGTTCCTTGGCCTGCAGATCTGTGGGCGACACAAGACCTTT